ATAGACTGAACATAGGTTAAGAACCGTAAATCGTATAATAATAAATTATAGGTCAAAATAAAGCTTATAATAAGAGAAATATAAATATCGTAATGTAATTGTTGAATAATTATACAATAAGAACATTTATAGAATATTAGTCTATTAACAGTCTTCGGAAGTTACCTGTAACTTAATCTTCACTGGGTTATAACACATACATTTTCCTACAACCTTCAATTGCCTTCTAATATTTGGTTTACGGCACATCGTCTTCCTGTAGTGGTGATCATAGTCAACCGCGACTCGACGCCACCCTACAATTCAATCCCATTTTTAAGTTAAAGAGTAACCTGATATTCGTTTTATTCTAATACTACAGTAGTTTGGTCCATTATTATTCACTCAATCCGTCTATTACTACTGTACAGGTCAGTATCTTCAGTTGCCTAAATGAACATTGACGAACATTCTTAAAACGTTTATTGCCAATTCGTTTGCCCTCGGTCATCCAGTTTAAAATGGAATGTATATTAAGTATTTTGTTCAGTTACTGTGTTATGTTCACTGTATTAACATATGCTGCTCAAGAGCGTTGTTTGTACCCAAATTATCATTGTTCCTAGGGTTACTTACCTGGACAGCACCATCGATTAACAATTAGGATCGCACATCGACATAAGGACAAAGACTGAAAAAGCAAAATCAGCATTCCTACAGTTGAAAACATATAGAACTCAAAGTAATCGTCAACTATAGTCGAAGTCCGAATCTTGGAGGACTACTACAAAAATTATCAAAAAGCATAGGTATTTATAAACAACTGTCTACTCAAGCTGCTCATCGTTAGTTGACAAAATATCACCAGCGACAGCCTACTGTAGAAAAAAACAAACTAGACCCAAGTTGACGAGGAACTTGAGAAAAGACACTGGAAGTGTATAGTGGTTATGCATCCGCACCAGACCACAAGCGAGTACCCCATGCTTCGCTTCCCTTACAAACGCTAGCCAGATTAGATTAGTCACTTCTCGATATATCGATATTCTATCAAATATATCTTCGGACCTCTTCGCCCCTAATTTTACTGGGTTGTTACGCTGAGATTATGAAGGTTGTTACTGGTTAAGGTATTGTCAAACTCTTACTACTTGTGGCATCTTTATTTGGATAAACATAGATTGAAGAAATAATCAAACTGCATCGCGAGACAAGTGACAACTTGGAATCTTGAAGACAAGCAGAAAAGAGCAAGGCCGAAGAACACAATGCCACCGAAATTGGAAACAGACATAGAAAGGATTTCCCAAAAGGCGAGAGCTTTCTCTGTTCTGTCCAGAACTATTAAAACATTTTGAATTCACTTTTTTATTTTCGAGACTATAGGTCCTGTACTCCTGGTTCTGGAATACCTTATTCAAGGTATTACGAGTTACATCAGATTATTGCAAATATATTCAGATTTTAGAGCGTGCGGGAAATCCGATAATGTTAGTTTCAGGAGGTGAATTTAAGGTTTCAAGGTCAAGCATTTCGAACATGGATCAGTGTGGAATTAGAAGACTTGTAGATGACTTAGTGACGTGCACAAAACGGGAAAGAAAAGTATAAGTCAAAATAAGTATTTTTTAGTCCCAAGAATAATGTTTTCAAACTTTTGAACATTTTACAAGTCTCAACTAATCGGCGAATCATAAGCGCCTGTTCCGATAAAAAGTTTCAAAACAGTAACCTTCGAGTCGTTTCATGGAATTTCATAATCGAGGTGTGTAGATCAGTGCTTATTATGGATTTTATAGAGCATAGTACAAGTTATGATAACTGAACTTCCATCTCACAGTGGTCGCGGAAATGTGAATGAATCACGTTCAAATATAGAACTGACTCCGTACTTAAAGATTTTGCAAATTATTGCTTTGCATGGATTCAAAGGTTAGAGAGTATATGTTCAAGCTAATATTTCCAGGAAATTACCTAATCAATTTAAATGATTTTTTGCTCTTCTTTCTTCAGATTGTTAAAGATAAGGGTGGTGCTTTCCTTCACTAAGGACTTTTTAATACTTTGTGTATTTTTGTCGGAAGCGCGTTTAAATACAATTATTTTAGATACCAAATGTCGAAACAGTAGGTTCCTTAGATTAAAATAATTGTTAAAGATCTTACATTTTGATGTTGTGATCAACTGAACTGTTCAACGTCCCTCCTGACAGCTCGTTTATTGTGCTTTTTGGTTCGACACTATTGTGAAAGTCTTTCGCTGCCATTTCATCCCATCTCAGGCACACTAATCAAATTTATTAAAAAGTATTATCTTTTAATAGTTTGTCAGTGTACAATTTTATATTTGAATTTTTTCAGTGTATCTTGTTTTGGTTGATATGTCTTTACACGACCACATATTACATTTTTTGCCTCACTGTGTATGTGCGTATAAATTTCAGTTGTTTCTTCCCATATTCGGTGCATACATCTCTTCTGAAACTTAAGACAGTCGGGTGATATAGCTAAACTTTATTCAATAGATGTGAATTATATACAAGTACTCGAACTTCACATTTGTTATCGGTTTTCACAGTCCTTTATTACTGAGTGAAAATACGTATTTAAGAAGTCAGTTTCACGATCCAGACCGAAATGTGTGTCAATAACACTGCAATGGTTGTCTATTAGTAATGTTTACAATTTCAACTCTGATCAAGCTGAGGGCTATTACACAAAAAACTTAACAGCTTAATAGTATCATCTTCATGAACTAAAAATATTACTTTATTTTCAAAGAGCAACAGTGTCTTCTGATGGAGTAGAAATGGAGATCTGGATAATGTGTGAGTCTAGCAGTAGATATATTAAGTATATGACCTCCATATTATTTGTGTTCAAAGGTTGACTATCCGTGTTTAAGATGAAACGAAAGCGTCTGTTACGGTTTTCGAGGGAGGTTCAAATCTCTCCATCAAGCAATATTTGTACTTTATTACCGGATCTATTATTTGTCCAAGTAATCGAAAATTTCTTAGTTTTCAGTCAGTCACAACATAGAACCTGGAACGTATGTATATCATCTCAGGTCGCTATACCTCGTTGGTATAGAGAAGCGAAATTGTAAGACTGAATCCTAGAATATTAGGGGTCGTATTATTGCCAGTTGTAATGCGACAGATTAAGCATCGGAGATACGATTCGAGAAAATATAAATTAGTTACATAAGAACGAAAATTTTATGATGAATTTGGAATCTCAGTATTCGGGAAAAGATAGAGAACCGATGCACCTGCACCATCTCAAACGATTTCGAGCCATGTCATTAATAATCTCTAATAATTGGTTACAATGTTCACGTGTACCCCAATTAGGTGACCTTTACCGATTAACATGGGTCAGTCCAGTTGTCAGTGACTTCATGGATTGGTGCTATGTTTTAGTCTGATCACCCTTAGCTTTCTTCCAGCCAATTTCCACACCAGAAAACATCGCTCATTGAGGTACGTTGTGGTTTTGTATACGTAGTACATGACCAACCACCGCAGTTGACAAATGTTTACCACCTGTTCAATCGATCTGTCATCCTGGCGCCATTCCTAATCCAGGCATCGCTTGCTCCATGGACGGAAAATACGAGTAATGCTTTGTAAATACCTGTGATCGAATACCAGTATCGTAGTTCTTAGTTATAACTATGAAGATATCATTTAAGTATGCAGCTGCTTCATGTACGCTATTTAATATTGCATACAATATGTTAGATATTATCATGTGCAGCATATCGAAATATCCCTCTATATATGTTGATAGTGAACTATTCTGACTCGTTCATAATTTCTACAAGGGAACAAGCATAGGCAAAGTTTTTTTTAAGATATCATCATTCGCCTTCCTACCCGTTACAGTTAGTACCGTTCATTCAGTCAATGGGTTTGATCACACCAGATTGCTGAGTGGTCTTATCAAAAACAGCGTATGGTACAGGTTGCCATGGTGAAAGTTGATGTTATATTTATCGTGTGTTAAATTTATTTATTCGTTTCATCACAGTGGTTGATTTTTTGTCAACAGTTGTTTTTGCAGTATTTTCAGTTGAAAGCCTTTAAGTCATATGTTGATGACTAGATTTACCTAGGAGGTACATACATTAAAAAATAGTCAGCTAATTTGATTTATCCAACTCAACAGAAGCTGAAAGATATTTCAACATAGTTCCCGGATATCAACAAATCACTTTCCATGACAATTCGCTTTGAAGCTCTTAATATCTGTTTTGATTCTACTTCATCGTAGGTGTGATTCACTGGTCGATCAATCCAAAAACATATTCTTTGCGAACCTCGGTTGGGTGTGTCATTTGCTCCGCTGGTTACTCAGTAATGTGTACACCAACATATCCGATTGGCTAGAAGCGTTTGTGATTATAAATCAGACGATTCCTAGTTTTATAAACTTGGTATTCAACGAAAATCAAACTAGCTGTACATTTTCCATCAATCTCGGAATTTTCAACAAAACTAAAGAAATGGATCCTTCTCAACGATATAACGTAAGTGACCAGAGGAATTATTCTCAGATAGCTATTCCTACAGTAAGGTTTTAATACTTGTTAAACATCTGGTCATTTTCTGCTCATATACTATCAACCAAAAGAGGTTGTGACAGAACGAATATTGTAAATTCTGCCAACACATGTTCTACGTTTAGGTGACTAGGGTACCGGTACAAAGTTATTCGGAATGATGTCTCGATTATTTAGATAGATTATTTTCAAGGAAATGTGCGTCGTTTATTTATTATTTGTAGGTTTTACAGTTTCATTCCGAGGCATGGACAAAAGAATCGACATGGGATTCACTTTCTCTAGCTTCATTTTTTACAACGATTTTGAATTCGGCACAGCACCGTAAATCTCTCGATATTGCTGGATGAAATACACTAAACTTTATCGAGCAAACCAAGGTTTGTCATCCAGCACCAGCTCATTTGACATTTTCCTCCCAGTTTTTCTTGATAGAGCAACTCCCAAAACTTTGCATGGATACTCAATCACCAAATATCATGCATAAAAGCACTGATTTAAGCACTCAACAAAAACTATTTTGTCTTTGGCGCCGGATGTTCGTGTTTTGTTATTATAAACGTTCTTTTGGAAAGATAACGACTTGTCAAGAAAACCAAACAGGGTCTTCTGTTCTACACAAGTATTTGCTTCACGAATTCAATTCAATCACTTCTCGTCTAAGTTTTCAAAATGAAGACACTTGTTGGAAAACCGTCCGTGGTCTTAGGAACTTCTTTAGTCTATTTGCAGCAGTATTAGTTATGGAATCTGACAAGAATTCGTCAAATTATGATAATAAGGTTTGTTTTCAAATATAGTTCAGTTTCGTGTTAAACGTATGTAGTCTGAAATGGTTTTATATTTTCGTATAATTGCTCACATTAAACGTGATTATGTAAACAAAACAGTTCCAGTTTCCACATCAAAAGCTTGCTTCAGTTACCTTCCTGTTCAGCCTACTTTACAAACAAGTTATACCCTTTTCTAGTGGCGGTAATGTGTTGTAACTAGTAAAATATCTGGTTACTTCAAGTGTATTTTCTTAGTGGCTAATAATTATAGAAAAAACTTATTTTAGTATCATATACGTGTTGTTGTTTGTTAGTTAAAAAAAACTATCGAGCAGCCCATTTTCTTGTAAAGTTGTATTACGGCTTTTTTGTTATGATAGTTTAGGGACTTCGCTGTTTGTGAACAATGTGGCTAAGTGTATGCATCTCTGTACCCAGATTTGTCTTTAAGTTGTAGTCACTAACAATTTTTAGGATATTAACGGGTTATTAATTGATTGCTTCTTTATGAAATAGGTAACAGCTGCTTCCATCGCAATGCTGTTTCATTGCATCCTTCGTTTCTGAGCTTTTCGGAGTAGTTATAGGTTCAAAATACTAAACGCCTTAGAAATTAAAACTGGCAACATGCTAACATGAGACATAATGTTTCATCGAATTCATGAAGGAACAACTTGTTCTTGTCATATCTTTGAGAATTCACCAGTTGTGCTTACGCAGTTTTAACCGCTTTTTCCGATATGTCCCTTCAAAAATCAAAAACGTAAAGCTGAAGCATAAGTGAAGTAGTATATTTGCGGTTAGTTTGTACTAAAATAGGGCAAAGCAAATTGGGCAAAGCTTGCGTAAGGACCGAGAAGCCTGGTGGTCGGAGCGTGCTAATGAGCTGGAAGCAGCAGCTGCATCTGGTAACTACCGGAAGCTCTTCCAGCTCATCCGAGCCACTGGCAGCAAGAAGTCTGGTGTGAGTGAAACAATCTGCGAGGATGATGGGATGCCAATCACTAACATCCATCGACGTCTTGGACGATGGGCAGAATTTTTCGAAGGGCAGTTCAACTGGCCTGCTGCTCCGGCAACATCGGTCAGGCTGTCCTGCCCTCCATGGCCGGTGACGACTGATCCACCAAACGAGGAGGAAGTCCGCAAGGAACTCCAACTCTTGAAGCGTTACAAATCACCTGGCCCAGATGACTTACCTCCGGCTCTTTTTAAAGATGGTGGTGACTTTTTGACTAAGGAATTGACGACGTTGTTTACAAAGGTTTGGGAACTAGAGTGTGTACCAACGTCATGGAATGAGTCGATAGTTGTCCCTATCTTTAAAAAGGGTTCACGTCGTTCCTGTAACAACTATCGGGGGATAAGTCTACTTCCGATTGCGTCCAAGCTATTGGCTCCCGTCATACTTCGTAGGTTGTTCAAAACTCGGGAAAGATTGACTCGCGAGGAGCAGGCTGGGTTTCGTTCTGGTCGAGGATGTATTGATCATATCTTCACCCTCCGCCAAATGTTAGAACATCGCCATACTTATCGAAGGCCAACAATCGTAGTGTTTCGTGACATCAGGGCTGCCTTCGATTCGTTGGACAGGACTGTTCTCTGGGATTGTCTATTGAAGAAGGGTGTGCCTGAGAAGTTTATTAACATCCTAAAAGCCCTATATAAAAACACCTCAGGCAGAGTGAGGGCATACAACCACCTCTCTCCATTGTTCCATTCGAGTAATGGGGTTAGGCAGGGTTGCCCAATCTCACCAATCCTCTTCAACTTTGCCATCGATGACATTCTGGAAACAGCTCTGATGAATGTAAGTAATGGTGGTGTGGATCTGTTGCCTTGAGAAAGACTTCTCGACCTTGAGTATGCGGACGATATTGTCTTACTGTGCGATAATGCCCAAGGCATGCAATCCGCACTTAATCAGTTGGCAATCAGTGTCCGTAGGTATGGTATGTGTTTTGCACCTTCGAAGTGCAAAGTACTTCTACAAGACTGGCAGGATTCCAATCCTGTACTCACCCTGGATGGTGAGCAGATAGAAGTAGTCGAGAAGTTCGTGTATCTGGGTAGTTGCATAAGTGCTGGTGGGGGTGTGAGTGATGAGATCAATGCACGTATAGTGAAAGCCAGAGTGGCTTATGCCAATCTGGGCCATCTTTGGCGCCTTCGTGATGTTAGTCTGGCTGTAAAAGGTCGGATCTACAACGCGTCGGTGAGAGCAGTTTTGCTCTATGCTTGTGAAACCTGGCCTCTCCGAGTTGAGGACGTTAGACGACTCTCTGTGTTCGATCATCGCTGTCTCCGAAGGATTGCTGATATTCAGTGGCAACACCATGTCAATAATGCAGAGGTTCGGCATCGTGTGTTTGGGCACAGAGATGATAATTCAATTGGTGTCACCATCTTGAAACACCGACTTCGGTGGCTTGGACATGTTCTACGAATGTCGTCCCAGAGAATTCCACGTCGTGCATTATTTGCCGACTCTGGGACTGGTTGGAAAAAGCGGAGAGGTGGTCAGTGCATGACATGGTGTCGTGGTATGAAAGAAAGCTGCAGAGGACTGGCTTGTGTTGGTCCTTCACGACTCCCTGGTTGGGGTCTGAGAGATGGTGCTACACAGTGGCTAGAGACGTTATCAGATATGGCTCAGAATAGAAGCCAGTGGCGATCCTGCTGTAACCTTCTTTTACTTTCTTCATAAAAAGTGGTTGTGTCTCCCTCGCTTGAAAGATTTCTTCTGATTGTACTTTTCCTTTCCACTGTTACGACCACACTAAATTACATCAATCTCTTCGTTATCGTTCTCTTTTTCTTTTGTGCTCCTTAGTTTGTTTTTTTTTCTATCTCTTCGAAGTTACATTGTTTTGTGTGGCGCATATATATTGGCGCTCTCTTGTACCAATATTTATGTGTTAAAATAAATAAATAAATAAATAATAATAAACTAAAATAGCATGTTTGTTGAAAAGCAGAAAAATAATCTAATACTCTGAGTCACATACTATTTACTTGTATTACCTCAACCACACAATTACTTAACATATTAAACATTCCGTTAGTTTTGAGTTTTCTAAGAGCATGGATGTATTATCGTAACTTAGGCCGCTAATGAATGTCATCGTGATTTTTAAGAAGATTGTACGACGCTATTTAAAAGAGAAGTAGACAATTTTGCAGAGATTTGTAAGATGTATAAATGTAAGTAATTTTATGTGCCAAATTCCACCAATCATCTAACCGTATCGTACTGCGTTCGTAAACTCGACTCTCCGAAAGGAAATATTCATGTACATAGTTTTAGCTTTGTTGTTTTTAGTATTTTTTAATCAATCTAAATTGTTCAATACATCTTACGTCTATCCGTAACGAAAAAATACTTTCTAAAGGTCTTTTAACTATTTCTTAGAGAATAAGGGATTTTGTTTATATTGACGGTACACTGATACTTTATATATTAAACTTCGTTAGAGTGAAATCGCCAATAAACTCTTTGGAGAACGAATCGAACATAATACTCCGGAAAATCAGCGAGAACGAAAAAGAGCTCGCTTTGAAGTCTGTAATTCAGATTCTGGGACATTTGTGTCCAGTGGTCTCCTATGGGATAACCTTGTCAACCTTACCAATAACAATACAAAATTCGGTTGCTTATGGTAAGTATTGTCCGCTGATTGTGTACGTTATGTATACGTTAAGATGAGGGTGTAATTGAATGATTAGACGTTTGCATAAGGTCTTATATAACCAGCCGCAACCATCCATGGCAAAAGAATTTGCAAAATACTATGTCATGAAAAGAATGTAGTTATTGTGGTTTTATTAAAATCTCACAAGTGACCGTATCTTTTCCTTGAAGACAAAGGAGTAGTTACTTTGCACTTAATCTAATTATGGTTTTTGAATTTTCCACACAAGCGTTTAATGACGCTTGACAGTAATATATATAAACATTTAAAGAATGTAATAGTTTAATAAATTTTCAGTTTGAATACAAGTAGACTACATCTTAAGTCGTAGTTCTTATCAAATGTTGTAGAATAATCATCTTATTTAATTGTATATCAAAAGCCCATAAATATTTTCTAAAACGGGCATGGTTTTGAGTAAGTCATATATATATATATATATATATATATATATATATATATATATATATATATATATATATATATATATATATATATCATTACTTACACTCATTTGCATGAATGACTAAATTCTTCGGGACTTATATTCCTAGCTAATTTATTCCTTTCAGTTAGATGTACTTTTTGTTTATATGAACAACTCTTCTCCATTGAAGGACATTCAACTTAAAGTAACAGCATATACTTTCTTGATCTTTAAGTTTTGTCATGAATGATTGGTTTACTCAGTTAACTATCTAACTAGTTGGAGTACATAACCTCATTAATTTCATCATTTGCCATCGTAATTTGGAAAGCATCTGAGTTTTTTACTTGTGTGTGTTTTGTCAATTTTCTTTCATGTAATTGATGTTTAATTACTTCTGTGTTGTCCAAGTCTCAGTATCCAAGACCGTTGATTTTAATGAAAATTCCTAGTTATAATCCACCACGTTTTGAGATACATTCTTCAGTGTTAATTGTTTCTTACATTTGAATAAAATCAAGAGTATATGAAGCACATCAGCTAACTAACAAGTGACGGGGTAAACTTTCATTTAGTTAACTTCGTTTTTATGTGCCCGATATTTATTGTAATCTATTACACTTTCATAATCATAAACAATTGAAATATGATAAATCCAATTTGTATAAATCTCGATGTATCTTACTTTATTGAATTTATCATCTAATCCGATTTTTCGTGCTCGTCGATTATTTTATGGAATTCATGTAAAATTTGGGAAATGTTCTTTCATACAACATAAGATTCACTAATTTTTCTACCTCCGATTTCGTAACAATATATTTTCCTTAGGTAATATCTATATCTCACATTTTTTATTTTAGGTGGCTTATTATTGATTGGATTATGCGTTTTATGTGGCAAAATACTTTGATCATACGTTCTGAAGGCAAAAAATATGAGTTATATAGTGATATTGAAACTCTTCTTAAGATCATCTCAACTTCAGTAAAGGTTAACCGAATGTAAGTCTTTCAAAAAATCATTTTTATCAGTGTTTAATTATCCTCGTTATTTGAAGACTCACTATGTAATTTACTTCATTTACCAAGAATAGGTTTTTGTACTCACTTTTAGCCAAGCTGTTTGTGTGAGGAGACTAATGATACTGCACAACCTATGGAGTGCAATTGTTGCCTGCTACTTACTAATTAAATGCCAGCTGACTTAATCACTATGTCCGTACACCATATTGCTTGATAATAGCATTTTTTAAAATTCTGGTTTTCAAGCATTGTTATCTCTTAATTAAACAACTTTTCAACCTGTGGATTAATAAGACTGATGTAAGACTTCGTATTCATCTAAACAAAGACCACATAGATCTGGTACTTTTCGTCGTAATCGGACATTAATATCAGTCTTAGAACAATACAACCAGTTAATGGTATTTGTAAGGTTCCTTTGTTTCATTTAATAGACATTTTGCTGACATTTAATAGAATATAATTCGGTAACATTTCTAATGTCTTACATATATAATAATATGAGCTTTAAGTTAAATGGGTTTTCATTTTATTCTACCAAAGCTTATATACTTTCATTGACTGTTCAATGGGAAGTTCATTTCCTGTACGTACTTCTTCAGCTATAATACTATGTAATCGTGAATGATGTCAAACATCAGAAATTCATACCTTAGGAAATCCTATGTACTTGTTCCTTATAAATAGTAATTACGAATTGTTTTCCAAAGGCATGTTAAATGGTATTTTGAATAAATTGTTTATTCAGTGTTCTTATTAACTAGACTAACGGTTAATGTTTGCTATAGTCTGAAATTATTCCGTAAGTATAAAAAACATGAAATATAAAAAATATAGAGAATGCTAATCTTACTTATTCATATTGTTCAAATATTATGTTAAATCGAAAGGGTCTTTGATTTGTCAATAAATACAAGTCGTACTATTGTGGAGTATATTGTGTAAATGAGATTTTTTCACAGTTCTCTATGTATCCACCTGAATTGTTATAAAGATTCCTTAGCACAGTTATTATTCCAGAAGTAACAAATATTTTTTGAAGATTGTGTTTATTTTTGTATTGTTCAGAGCATTAGCAAACGAATGTTTGGTTACCATGTTACATACACTTGTCGTCTTATTGAATTACGAATTATACCAAGGCTCAATTTCTCATGTTCCATTAGATAGTGTGTTATCAGCTTATAATGAAATATGGGAGTTTGCTGTTAGGTAAGTCCTTGTGAGATTAATATATATGGTCAGTATTACTCACGTAATTTGTGGGGAATAGTTCGGAAATATCTACTTGAATGAATTGGCTCCCTAATAAATTTAACAAAATAAGAACGACAGTACTGTCTGAATACTATGAATTCATCGTAGTTAATGCTTCTTCTTCAGTTAATTAGTTAGGTTGGTTAAAAATATTAGCTTGAAATTTTCAAGAAATGCCTTAACATCAGAAATCAGTTAAATTATTTTGAAATTAAGGTTGTAGTAAATATTTCAAAATAAAGTCTTTAAAGGTTATTTTTTATGAATAGTTATACAGATAGTCCAGGATATTGTCGTGTAGTATGGCAACAGATTTCTAAAGACTGTAAGAAGATGGAAAATTGAGTTGGAAGTATTGATTTCTTTAAAGACGAAAACTGTGCTCTTAACATTGTTCTTTCTTGTTACAGGAGTCGAAAGTTAACCACAGATTATGTTTATGCTTTCTGATTGCTACGACCTCTTCAGTTCTTAATAAGGTAGAGTCATGCTGTTTATTGATTATTTTGAATAGGCATACTGTTTTCACCTGGTATTCCGAGTCCAACAAATGACATGCAATCGAACCATGATGACTGATTTCCTTTTATAGATGGAAATTCTCAGGAATATCCTAGTTAGAACACCTAGATCCCCGTTTTTGAAACTTCATATTTTAGTCTGAAAAACCTTATTAAATTTGTATGTAGCGGAAGAGAAAGTACGAAATATAACGATTTAATCGTATCTTCCAAATATTGTTGCTCTTGCTTTGCTGAATCATTTATAATCTCTGGATGGCATTTTTTATCAACCGCTATTCATTTTACTTACTCAACTTCATCCGACTAACATAATAAGAATGTTTAAAGATATTAACTTTTTGTGTATCTGTATGTATGTCAGGCGATACCACTTGATTGATTAAACATGGTTAAAAAATCTAAGCAAATCACCCAATGTTCGGAAGTGGATTATTCAATTCATATTTTCTTATCGCACTAATATTGCAGTACGAGAATTTTTTATAAGATATCTGTATTAGAATAGTTTACTTATCTGAATTATTTGAAAACCTTTTTACTCGAAAAATTGATGATGTTAAAAATTAATTTTGAACAAACTATTGACAAAATTTAAAGTATATGGTCACTAAGTGTTCTTTACATAGATTCTTAATTTTCATTATTCTATTTTTTACTAACTATACAATGATTAGTTCTAATTGTTTTGTATTTTTCATAGTTTATTTGAACAATGTTCTTTACAACGGAATCGTTTACAAGGTCATAAACGTGAAGGTTCTTTGTCGGGTTACCGGTTTCTAAATCATGATCGATTAGTATGTAATCTTCTGTCAGCTTTATTCTGCCTTCACAATTCTACCAAAAACAATCATTTTCAGTGTGTAAATGTATCTAACATTTGTTTGCGCATATTTACGTCGCTAATGAGATGTTTAGATTTAGACACTAGTCATTTGAACAATTCACCATGGCGTGTTCGGCTGATTGTTTTAATTAGTACTTGCTTAAAATTACCGCGAAACTTGATTCCTTGTGATATTTTTTTAAGTGTTTCTACTATCCCTAATGTTCTATTATTTAATCCGGGTATTCTTTTTCTATTATACAATTATACAAAAGTTTGGAACACTGATGATGATCTTGCTGAAAAGAACACGACAGTTGTGCAGGTACCAACAGAAATAAGTATTTTACTAACTGGTATTCTATGGGCATATAAAATCTATTTAATAAATCAATTTACTCCTACTATTCATTCTTCTAACCCATGGTTTCATACAGGAAGTAATCTGAATCAACCATTATTTAGTAATCAAGATCATATTGAAGCTATTGACTTTATCAAAAAAATATATCAGTTCACACTCGTTTGAATGCAAATTTATCACTCACAGATGAAAATATATTTAGTTTAGTTGTTTTCTTAGCTACAGAGTTATCATTCATTCGATACAAATTTTATTTTCTCAAAAAGAAATGTAAATATCTGGATGAGTTACCATCATGTTACGCAGTTATGTTAGAGCGAGTTTTGAAACAAATACTAGACAATTTAATATCCAGTAAGTATCAATGGTGTGATTCAGTAAAAAATGACATAACCAACTTTTCTGTTCGACTTAATACGGATGATTTTAATCAAAAATTTAAAAAGTTGGAAATGTTTGTTAAATCTTTAGAAATTCTATTGGAATTATTAACGTCTAGCATAGACGATATATCATGGATCTCATCATCACAATTAAATCAATTAATACTTTTGTCCACCAGTTATTTCAGCTTTTCAACATCTGAACAATTAATTTCTGAAAATACATTTCAACCATTAGATGTTTCTAGTCAAGTGAAGAAGACTAATTTTGGTGACGAACATTTCGAGGATACTGATTGTTCTGTTCCTGTTGAAATAACAAATAATGAAGATAACTCAGAAGAAATTAACTCACGTAATAATTTGTATCATTCAGTAAAATTTCAAATCTTCAATTCATTATTTTTATTTAGTCTTCGATGTAAAAACATAAGCTTACTAAAACAAATTTATCAGTCATTGCATGAATCAATGTCTAAAATTGTTTTAAATGATCATGATTCTATTAAATGGTTATCTAAACTTACTAGAAACATATCTCAATCTATGTATAAAACATTTTCTGATAAAAATTATGATAATAATTTAAACAGTGATTTTGTTGAAATGATTACTTACTTTATTAGTTCTATAGTAGATAGTATTCGTGAAATTCTGAAATCTCTTCTAGCACGTTGCAGTCAATATTTGTGTATTAATTTAATTGTTAAATTAATTCGTTCACTTTGTATGCTGTCAAATAGTATGGTATATATATATGTACTCCAAAATCAAGCAAATTTAAATCTTGAAGAAATGGGTCATTGGAAATTGATCGGTCAACATATCGATCAACTGATTCGAACTGTTTGGTCTGTTGGTTCTAAATTCTCTGGGAAATCTTTACAAGGTTTCGAAGTCGCTACTGTAGATTGTTTTAACTTTTGGATAAATGTAAGTTAAATAGATAAACATATTAATGTAGCGCGTACATTACATCATAATCTACGAATCATCTTTATTTTATTCAATATAGAGTTCTAACCTTTAGAATTATGTAACTGCAGTTTCTACATGTAGATCTAGTAAACAATACCCTATTGGGTAGTAAAGTATCTGCCACTCATACTTATATTCAAAGCTGACAGGTTTACAATCAAAGGCATCGAAATAATAGTGGTTTTACCGGTAGTGAAAATATAGTTCAAAGAGGATTGGTGATACTCAAAGATGAAAACCATGAAATAATAATAAAAGTCAAGATATAGAAGATGAATTTAAAAAAGCAAATTATCTTCACTGCAACTAGCTTTGATTTATGTTAAATAAGGTCTCCAATGATGTTTTAAAATTATCTGTCAAACCACAACGAAAACATCTGTGCCTCTGAAAGTGTCTCAGATTCACAGTTAATAATTTAATTGGCTAGTGCTACACCTTGGCTTTATGACTCTTAGTATTGGAACATAAAATCCTATATTATTTTGAAATCAGTCTAACACTTCAGTTAAAATTTCGAAAACGTTTTGCTGATTAATCAATTAAAAAATAGAACTACATCATAAGCTGAAATCAGTTATGTTTTCTTAAACGTTGGACCATGTAATTCACATCTAAATGCATATCATAATTTGCTCTTGCTTCCTAGTTATTTGACCAAATAGTAATCTATTTACTAAGACGAGTTACAGTTCTTGCTAAGAACATAACGTTGTAAAAAGTACATAAATTTATTATGTGTTAGTCAGTTTTATAAACGGTCCACTACTAAATCATGAACTGTCTATCATAGTAGATAACCATAGTTGGACAACGAGAAATGAATTTGGCACTGCCTATCCATGTGATTTCTGATTAGGCCACTCGGTTAAAACAAGTTTGAACTTTCGCTTAGTTGGAAAAATTGTGTACACTAGAAATTAAAACACGAATTTCAGCGAAGGGATCTCTTTTCAACGAATTTATTATCAAGCTGTACAATCGTATATATATGAAATAAATATACGATTGTACAGCTTGATAATAAATTCGTTGAAAAGAGATCCCTTCGCTGAAATTCGTGTTTTAATTTTAATGTTTAAATGGGAATTATCTGACACTAGAAATTATCAAAAAAATTTCCCCTAGTTATTTAAGTAACTCGTTACAGAAAATGATGCCTACAAAATTTGATAAATAATTTACGGTATCCACAAGTAAGTAAATAGTCAGTCAATATCAAGTGATCAGACTAGCAATTTGTTGATTCACCTTTTAAAGAATTCTGCATATTCATGGGTTTTTTTATTCCAATCCAATTTCTTTAGCTTTATTCCTCAAACATTATTGATAAACAAAATAATCCAGATTATTGTCTAGTTCCAACAGTTCAACATATTGTACCTATTGCAGCTTTTCAATTAGCGAAATTTCTCCAAAGGTAAATTCAGTCAGGTATTTTTTTAGATATTTTGTAGTGAAAGTTATTTAAAGATATTGATCAACATGGAAATATCTCTAACTGGATGGGGTCAAGGACTGCATAGTGCTTAAAATATTCGTTTCCTATTCGCAATAAAGCACAGTTCTGAGCCTTGTTCCACCTTCGTCGGTTTGGATGGCCATATTAAATCAATAATCCTTACATAACAAACAGTTTAACTTGATGAGTTATTATTATTAAATGAAATAAATACTAACATGGTAAAATACAAATGCGTGGAACTTTTATTACTCGTTTTTATTTCTGTTCTATTCAGATATGATTAGATATTTTGTTAATATTTATTTATTTAAATAACATTAACTTAGGGCAATAAATTCTTAAATATACAGGAAAGAACTGCTGATCTTATTGTAAACGGTAATAATTGGTTATTTTAAAATTTGCATTTTATTCTTAGTTTAAAACATGAATAATTTTATAGCGAAATTTAAAAGAGGAAAAAATTATTTAATATCAGATTTATGTTGTTACTTGTATTCCATGGATTAAAATAAATACGTTGGTAGCTCGTTTTTTGAACCCATTCTAACTTCAAGCTTTTTTTTTGCACTTTACCTTAAGAAATGTATATGGCACGAAAGTGTAAACTTTGATAAAAAAAAAGTAATTATAGGAACAGTAGATTTTCTCATTTTCAAAACTAAAGTAAAGGACGAAACGCGCATCCTGAATTCCACTGCTAGCCACCATCGATCTTTGCTTATAATGCTTGTGACTTAAGGTAATATCGATGCGATTAGCACAGGATGCACATATGCCAGTATGAGATTGATGGAATGCATTTCTAAACATCAGTGGGAAGATTCAAACAGACAAATCAATTTAAAGTAAAGGAGTTTAACTTTTCTTAATAATACCATATCCTCGAATAAAATCATCTACTCAATGCGGAAAAATTTCAACCCACTACTAACTTGGCCTGTGTATTTTGATGTAAACTTCATTGATTATAATATAAAAAATTTTGCTACTTTCTAGGTAAAATTACTAATGTAAAAATATTATAAATCTGTAAATCTCATAATTAAAAGTTAGTTGGGTAGATTGTAGCACCACTTCACTCAAGATATAAAATCCAGAATGTAATGTATTATTTTTAAATTCTTATTGATTATGTGATAGCAATTATATTATGGTGTTTTCAAATAATTTAGCCTAATTGTGAAATTGGAAAATTTTTCCTGGTGTCAAATCAATCATTGTGCTATTCTACAGCTTTGTCAAACCTTACTTCAATCGCTCACATCTACAAAATTCAATTTCATATCATTAAAAACAGAAACTGATACAACATATCCGTCTGTCAATCTGAATTTCACAGTTTATATATATTCATTAATCTTGAAACTCTTAACTGTCCTGTCTACTCATACTAGTACTATTAACGGTAATCAGTGTCCTTCATCATCATCGGATAGAATTCTATCTATGCTATATCCTGAATTAGAATGTCTAACTGTATGTTGTACTCAAATGACTATAATCTACAATAAAGAAGAAGTGAAAGGTTGCTGTCAGATAAACGAGATAACTTCTGTGTCTTATTTTAACATTTTTTGTTTTAGTATTGAAGGATTTGTGGAGGTTGTAGAATTTTTGTAGTTTAAATCACGAATTCATCTTAGATAGGTCACCACTGAAAATCAGGCTGCACTAAACGACTGTTTCGTTCTAGTATGAGACTGCCCAGCAATGCGCATCTACGATGCTGCCTCAAGGAGTCAAGTTCAAGACTATTGACTTAATAGGTTCGTCGTTCACGCGCGAAACCGAAGGTCCTGGGTCCACCCTCTTCGGCGTGGTTGTAGATGTACGTTGCTAGAGTGTCCCATACTAAGAAGAAACAACTATCCACTGCTTCCACGTCTTCAATGATGTTCTAGCTAAGATCAGTTTGTGATCAACCTTTAGAAGATAAGGTAAAAATCGTTACTTAAGTTACATTCCAATAATAGTAGGGTCTATATTTTGGTTACTTATTCACAAAAAATGGATAAGTTTGTCTATTAACGCTCTTTTTTGACAATTATAGCTCATTATTGAAATTTTGGCTGGAAATGATACAACTTATTTCCGTCAACATATCCGACCTATTTTATTACCATTAGTACTTAGACGTTGGTTGAATAACTTCATTAGATCCAGGCTAGTGGAATTCTTGCCAATCTTCCCTTGGAGATGCTGGGGAATAACCGATTTCCAGGAGGCTCAAATGCAAGTAGTCTTTTCAATTTTTATTCATGTTTATATGCTAATTATAATACGTTGACAGCCAGTATATTATCGTTGATAGATATTGCGTTATTATTTTATTTCGGTTTTTAAATGGAATTTGAAAAAAAACCGGTAAATTTTCAGTCCAAATTTAGAGTATACTTTGATCTTGAATGGATCTATATATTATCTAACAACCTAGATCCTCACATAATAACATTGATAATAGTGAAAAGCATGAAATATATATATATTTTGTAACATAAGTGGCGTAATTAATTTAAGTGATGACATTCAGTTATAAAGATCAGTCAAGTGGACACGTACTTTATACTGATAAAGTAGGTTTTAGTGTAGAATAAAATTTCGGATACACCAAGCGGTACACTGGTGCAATCTTAAGTTTCATTTCACATCAACTGACACTAAATCTGTTTTGGTGAAAAAAGTGAACTACTCTCACAGGTTCGAACTCCTCCTCACCTATTTTGGTCTGGACAGCCGGATATTATCATAAGGCAGTTTAGGTGTGACTCGAAACTAAATACACGAATGCTTACCTGGTAATTATTTACTAATGGTAATAGTAATACTAATAATAATAAAACATTAATTTTGATAGTAAAGGTTAACAAGTATATTGCAGGAAATTCTAAAATTTAATTGGTTTCCATCCAAAATTATTAATAGTCGACTACTATCATTATCGTGAAGTAAAAGCACAATCTTTACATTCAGTGTTTTCTTGTTACGAATATTAAAGTGTTGATATTACAACTTTTGAAAATGTACACTATACAGTAAAACAAAATGATGCTTAGTGACGTTCTACTAATCAGGAATTGTTGAATTATTTTCTGATAATCTAATCAACTTCCATCCTTTTAGTTAGTTATTTATGTTTCATTGATTAAAAAGTTATCAAAATTGTTACAATAATTGAGAGGTTAGCAATTTTATCACTGATCGCATGTTTTGCTTCAATACTTGTATATTTGTTTAATGATAAACTTTTATCTTATCGATTGGTTTCCGTTAATATGTTTGACTCATACATATTTTCTAGGGAAATTTGTCCAGTTTTTGGGAAATTAGCTTTGACTGATTTCTATGAACCTACTATCAAATTGCAGGATATCAAGATGATTAGCTCTCTTCTTACTGATCATGTTCCTGAACTGGTGGGTGATATTCTTATCCATTCAATTATGCAGAATATGGATGATAACAGTAGACTTCCACAATGGCATATAATCACAGAATTGTGTGGCGGATCTAAGGTTAGTTATAAATATTGGGCAAATATTTCTATTGCTTCCGTATAGATCGACTGCAGCTGACAGGGGGATCCATGAAAGGCATTCCGTTCTTCTCGAAACTTGTCAGCTGAACGTTCATGCATTCCAGTGTTAACGTTCACACCTGAACCCGAACCTAACACCTTTCGCTTCAAGCGCCCAACATGTTATTCAGTGAGGTATTGAGGCCAGATAGCCATTGACTTGTTAAATGAATTTCATATTCATATCATTATTAGAAAGGGTTTGAATTATCTTATCTATTCTATATGACTTGCAATAAAATGACTTTATTGAAGCAGTCTGCTCAAGATGCACATATACTAACCAGAACTTCAAAATTCAGTCAACAATATTAATAATGGGATAATGCGGCCCCCTACTAACGATATATTTCCTTCATGTTTATGATCTTGTTAATTTTTTACTTGTGACAGTTACCTTCTATTCTCTTATAGTCTTCAGATGTGATTTTTAACTATATCTTAATATTTAATAACTATAGTCAAATCATCACAGTTCACAATAAGCTTCGAAACACAACTTATCTTCAATACAGCTTTTGATTTTTTAACATGGTGTAAAATTGACATCACTAAATATTTGACTGAAAAGTAATTTCCTTTACCTGAAGATTTTCCGAGGACGTTTAAATGGTTTTTAAGGTGCTTATGTTGATCTAGAGTTATCGATTTCTAAGCCAGGGTAAAGGTTTGTGTCGCTAAGATGTTTATCGTAAGTAGATCTCATGACTGACTGGTACGTTCCTCCCAATTATTCATGATAATCAGAATTCGATTGTCACTGTTTGAATTGTTTCATATTTTATGAATCTACCTCTTGGAATTTTTTTATAAAGTTTTTAGAAGATCACTTAGACCGACAACGAATTATGATTATGGTCAACTAATAAAAATGACTATTTGTAATGATTGTGGATGCTGATTATGACTGACTAGCAGAATGAAAACTTTCGGAGAGTCGTTTAGATTACGAATAGCGTATGAGATTTGACGGTTAGCGAACTGTAATTCCTAAAATATTCGTTATAAAAGAGTAAAATAATTGATTTCCGTCCGCTTTTCATTCATCGTTAACAAATTATTTATAGAAGAACTGAAAGGTATTGAGAAGGCACTTCGTTTAGGAATGCAATTCTGTCTGAAACTTAAATTAATCGTAAATAAATTTATGACAATCATAACCTAGAGTCTAGCACAAATATGCATTTGTCCAAGTTTACATACCACTATCGCACAATGAAATGAAATTAGTAAGATGGATAGCAAAGGAGTCAAAATAATTCAGGTAATAGTGATAATGAAGAAGACTAAACACCTGGAGTTAGAGTTCGAGAAGAAAAAAATGAAAGGCAGATGTGAATAAATTATATAATTCGAGATCTAGAGGAATATAGAGAGTTAATGTATCTGCGCCATCGTGAGCGATACTAAGATACTTCATACAACGTTTCTAACTTCTGATTGCGTATACAACAAACAGGTAGCTTGCATTTACCAACATAGATTGAACCTACAATCAATGAATTTATGGACTGGTGCTATTTCTTTGTCTAGCACAAACAAATTCATTCTTCATGTCCTACAACTGTGTTTACAATTTTACATAGGCTTGTGAAGTCAAATACATGAGAAGAATTGAAAGAACAGCTTTTTATTTAGTGTATTTGGGAATTTATAGATTTTTTTTCTCATGTCATCATTTATTATATGACACACACTAGGAAAATAATATTTATTGTATCTGGGTAGTAATGTATTTAAAACTAAGCTGACTGCAGAAAATGGTTGTCTGGCACTAATTGAAGTTTGTAAAGATAGTTCATGGACCTTGTTAGTTCATTTTAGAAGCTGATTAGAATCAGAGCCGTGACATAATTTGTAATCAGATGGAAAGTAATGCAAATTATTTTGAGACTATCCCAGTTCAATAAATTGAAATGAACTTTGTTCTAATTACATGCGGTTGATTACATCATTTAATGTTGTTTTGCAGATTTTCACCTATTCACCAACATAGTTAATAAAGAACTCAGACTCGTCTTTATTCTAATTTGTATTTGTATGTGTTAAAGCTTATTTTTTGCAAACGATAATTTTGATTGAAATTTGTCAACTGATGTGTCGTTTTTTTCTACAAACTTTACCCAACTGCTTACATTTAGCTTACTCATACAACTTTATTAAAAGCAACAAATTTATGTAAACTAATTCATTGTTTGCTTGAATTACGCGTACTTTATGATATGCCAAACAAATCTACTGGCTCTTCACAATCTCTTACAAGTCATCACTATCTTGGATCATTTCTTATTAATTGCCTAGCCAAATTATACATTAACTTAAATTATGATCAATTGGCATCTACTAATAAGATTCCAGATACAAAACAACATCATTTACAGTATGCCTATGATCTGATTAGTTCTTGTCATATTAATTCAGTAAGTTATTTTTACGACAATAATCTATTAGTAATTTAACTTAATAACCAATTGAAGTTCATGTAACCGACTTTAAACCATACTATTTTTTTCCATAAAGACTACTAACTCTTGTCAGTCATCCAGACAAAAGGTCGAATTTATGACGTAGCGGTTGAAATTCGAATTCCTCGTTCAATAAGCCACTTCATTCTACAACTTTCTTCCTATGTTGTACAGACAATATCTCAGGATGCTAATTGGATAAGTCCTTCATTTTTGCAAGACTTTTCTACTTGATTTGGTTACAACAAATAATAACTCGACGAATGCTCTAATGTTTCTAGTTTCTTGCGTTTGTCAGAAATAGGGTGGAGTGGCATCATTGATGGATGAAGACATGAGTTTGTAATCAATAATTTCCTTCTACTTGATGCAAATTAACGGTCAGTAACTTAACAACTTGTTACCATATTTCTGTCTAGCCAACTTTACCCATTTCCCGACCAAACTCCTCTCCATCCAGAAACTCGCTTCAGAATATATGGCAACTTGATATGTATAATATGTTAGCCAGAGCTTCATTCGACACCAGATTAGAATTTAATTGATTCAATTGCTACACTTAGCAGGATTTCGTACCTAGCGTTAATATATGTGTATATGAAAAATATCAAACCACTCAAGGCAATTTGTGAGTCATCGATAAATACAACTGCTATCTTACCATGGATTTGTACCTTTATTTATTATAATTAGTTTCATAACTCCAACCTGTACAAATAGTTGGTTTCACTACGCAAAAGCTTTTCATACAAAATTCGTAATCCACGGATATTTTCTGTTTCTAGTAGAGTTGCAGAAGCCGAAGTGTCGCCCTCTATTTTCACATTTTTATTGGCAGTCGACTACCTAACATCATACGATGTCAAATAGACCTTCGGCATCTGAGTTAAGACTTATTTGATGAGCGCTTTCTTAGTGTTAACAAAGCCCTCCGAATAATAATTAGGTCTATACGCTCAGACACTTCTTTTGTTATCATTTTATCTAACTTGTCACCTAAATGTTTTATTTGACCTAAAGTTTTTCATCTTAATGGATCCTATGAACATAAATCTTCTACTTGAAAAAGCAACCTTCAAGTACCAGATATTTAAAAAATGTTTTAATAACTTATCCTCGTCAAATAAATTGGGGATTACTCTTCATTTATTATATTTTACTCTACTCACAAATCCAGTAAATCAATAAATTACCACTTAATTGCTTATTTTACTTACAATTTATTCCTATTATGCCTTGTCACTATTTGACTTTTTCATTCATACTTTTTGTTAATTTTAGGACTTAGTCAATCGTCTTTATCAAATTGGTGTACAGTTTCTTTGTCCACAGTCTACTGTTAATGTATCACATCGTTTAATACCTTATTGTTTGCGATTAACGTGTTGGTGTGCAATATCGAATCTCATTATATCTTTACTATTCAATATCACCTCATCATTTGATTCTGGTGATGATGATGATGAATTAAGATTAGTGCGAGAGTTTTCTGTCTGGATTTTTGTAAATGGGCACGTCAGTCTACTGGTTAGTGATTTAACTCGGTAAGTTGTTATGGTCATTTTCAAGAAATATTTACATAGTGTTCAATAAATCATGTTTCAATTTAATTCTTTCACATTTCTTAAATAGTTAGTAGTCTTACACAACGTCAATAAATTTTCAAATAATTTGAATATCTTGGACATTCTTGTATTCCTTTTCTTTCAAGTACGGTGTTAATAAATTTAGTTTTACATGAAAGAAGTCTTTATACCATGATAATGTGTTTCTTCCCAAAATTATCAACTGTATGTATCAGATGAGAAATTAGTTGTTTTCTGCTCATGTTATGTGATTGTAGCTAGTGATCCATTATGTTGACTTGTTTTTTCAGATTCTCTCTATCTAGAATCTTACTATAAATTTTCTTACAACTTTTCCCATTTGTAAACTTGGATAATGAAAAATCAACTATCATAGCAGCATAACATGAATTCATTTCTTAGATTATGTAATATAGACTAGTCAATTAAAGCTCAGAGATGGTGAAGATTTGTACCTCAGGTGGATGATTTAGAAGGATTTATGCATTCTGAACTGGATGGTTTTGTCGCTAAGCTATCATTGTTTTCCTGAACAACATTATCAGCACCATCTTCAGGTAGGTTTTAGTTTGTAAGCAACTGTGAAGAATCAACGAGATAAATGAATTCATATTATTCTGCTACGATATTTGTTCTTTCTTTATTCAAACTTATAAATTTTCTACGATTTATTTATATTTACCGTGTTCCGAGAAATATTTGAGCATTTATATTAGTCTTTTATAACTGCTATCACATGTTTGTAATTTTATTTAATAGTAATTTTATCAATCTTCGTAAGGTTAAACAAGACTTAGTTGATACATTATTCATAGCTTTTCTCGCGGAAACTTATTGAAGTAATTTTTAAGGGAAGCCTAATAGAGTATTGATCTAAATATTTTGTAGTAAACTTATCGGAATTAAACTATTTGAATATTGTCATATAACTCGAGAGCCAAACTAGGTTTGTGTACTACGCTGAAGAGCATAATTATTTTTTGAAGATTTGAGAATCGAACTGATTGCTCTGAGACAGAAGCGTGCAATACAATATTTTCTAATGGTGTACGCGAACTAATCAACTGTGAATCTATGTAAAGTGTTGGATATTTCATAGAGAGAAGTAACTAAGGGGTCCAACTTTCAACCACTATGTCACGGACAAGACACTTTCTCCGCCTACTTTGATTTGAGTAACCATGTAGTATTACTAGTTCACGCACTTAGTGTGACCATAGCCAAGTATACAAATCTCCACACTATTGGATACAATGGTTTTATTTCAAATGCTTCAACCATGCCGCAATGTGTCGAATACAACCACTATTTCCAGTGAGTTTGTTAAAATACGTTACTGTAAACGCCCATAATTTGATGTACATTCGATAGGTGAATATATATATATCATACTGTATACAAATTATATTACTATCATCTATACGAAAAAATTTAATGTTGAGTTATTTATTTAATAAGAACCTATTTACTCTGATTTCACTTGTAGTATTGAACACCTTGATGAACTTCTTGATTCGTTTCATTATCTATTCGTTAAAATTCGTTCATTCTCCTTGTTTCAACAAAATTCAAAGGTACATCGTTTTTTGTTTATACATTTTGTGTGTTGAGGTTTATGTTATTTTTTGGACATATACATTTTATATTCCTTTATTTCTTTGAATTGAATGGTAAAATTGGAGGAAACGAATGTATATTTAACTTATTGTATATTATGTAAGTATTTCATATTGCATTCATGGCGCGAAATCTTGAAAATAAGTTGATTAATAGAATCACCACGTATGTACATTAATCACTTATTATGCATTGCTATGTTACTTAGTTCACATATTTGATCGGATTTCAACTATACTGTTACTGAGCCAGTTATTTTGGTATTATATATTTCATGATGCGTTTTTTGATGAAGTGATCTAACTCCAGTGCTAATTTTCGTGACGATGTAGTTTTAAATTGTTAATAGAGCATTGATTTTTTCAGAATGGTAAATGTTAATAAATACGGGACGTAGACAGTAGAACTTTCTAATATTCACTTCAAGCTGCTTAAAATGCATCGTGAATATGATTCTATTAATAATAACAAAAACTATTTCTACTTTGGTTTCGTTACAGTTTGATGTCTGTTGGAGTAACATTGAAGTTCAGGGACTACTAGACACTTATTTTGTCTTAGTATGGAACTTTTCGGTAATATTCATCCAGAACTTCACCATGAATCGAACTCATTATCTCCAACTCTCGAGGCTAGGATTCAACCTTTATATTCCAACCGAGGTCAATCAATCACGAGTATCACCTACAAATTGAACTAATCTCCACATAGCTAATTCACCATCGTATGCTTATTAGTGGACTTGGTTAGGCATGAGTTAATGAAGTTCTATTTGGAATTCATAAGATTTGTTAAAAATTAAACTGAACTATATTCTATCCTAGTTAATTAATTATTATAATAATTTATCCTTTATTTTCAAGTTTAATTTTGTTATGTATAAATTTATCTCATATTTCTATCTCATTTAGTTACTCATTAGTATACATCATTCAACTGTGTATACGCTTAGAAATTTAGCTAAAAATCTCTTGCAGTCAAACAAACAATTTCAGTCTACTTATCCTGATGAATTGAAACGATCACTTTTAAAAAAGGTATCATTACTTTTTACTTCATGTTCTATACTTAACAATCATATGTTTACGAAATTTGTCTATTAAACAGATAGTATTCTTTTTCATCTTCATGATTTTATTTGTTCCTGGTTTGTTTATCATGAAATCATTTGTAGATAACAGTTTACAAGTTTATTGAAAGATTATAATAGTTTTACATTCATAAAAGTGAGATATATTATTTGAGTTCTGTTATATCCGAGCGAAGATTAAATCACGAGTAACTTCTGAGACATATTAATTGACTAATATGATCTATACATTCTTATGGTATAATTATTCAATGATTAGATTATGTATATTTATATTCCTCTTATTATAAGCTTTATTTTGATCTATAATTTATTATTGTACGATTTACTGTTCGTAAGCTATGTTCAGTTTATTGACTATTGCCTCCCACGTTCACAGTCACTTTTTGACTTTATTATGTACAGATGTTATTTCCTATTTTATGGTGCGTTGCGGTCTGTTTGGTTGATATATAAACCCAGTATATCTGAAATGAATGATTCGATTCGCATATTGGAAACTGGTATTTGGTGTTCTGGACTCAAGTGGACGGGCTAGACGGACATATGACCAATATGGACGCTAGACTGCCCATACCGGTCGAACGTCATTGGTTTGGCACCGTGCTAAGATTGTATAAGTCGTATTTTGATGGTGAATAAATCACTTGATAAAAAAAGCCGGACATAAAGTCACAACAAGTTCTGTAGGTCTACTTGTTCAATAAATCGTTCGAAATGATATAAAATAACTTTGGAAATTTTGGAAGCAATATTTCATATTTGTGATTAAACATACAAAAACAAAATCCAAAATAATTCAGTACTTATGAGTTACATAGAAAATTCATTGTATTACAACAGATAAATTGTTTAAAAACAGAAGAAACTTATTAAGAGAAGAAATATTTCTGTTCAGTTAGTTTTGCATCTTGGCTTAACGTAAAGATCAATACATATTTTATAACCAATTATAAAATTTTAGACATTAGTCTAGCCTATATTTCCATCTAACGCTATTCCATTGACCAGGAAAATTTACAAAACATTTGTAATTCCTCTTTTCACTTTATATCTTGTGTTTATGTAAACTTCGACCTTCGTTTAAAAACATTCGATGTGTCATCAAATCACACATTGAATCAACGGAATTACTTATTACATGATTGAGACCATTGCTTTTGATAAAGCGCTCGATGATTTAGATATCATATGTCGGAAAAAAAATTATCAACTTTATCCACGATCTTCAAACCGAGATTTGCAAGGAATTTCATAAATCGCTATCGTAAACTCTGATAAAAGAACAACTATATTTAGGGTTCTCTGAAACTACTTCGAAGTTGATTTATAGCTTAACGAATATGAAGCTTAATATATTAGAAACAGACGTTTTACCACTGTGACTCAAGTTTTAAATGCCAAAAACAAATACTAAAAAAATTGATACAGAAGCTCAATTCAATAATTTGTTTGACCAGTTACAAGATTTGCATTCAATAAATGAGGAAAGGAAGGGCTGGTTTAAATCAACTTTAGTTGATATTTCCAACCAATACTGCATTTCATCGACATCAAAGTCGGATATTATATCCAAAAAACATATGTCAGATTTAAAAAATACTAGACAAAATGACGAGGTAATGATCTTATGAACAGATTAATGTTCGGAATTCGTCCTAATGATCACAGCTGATTATATCACTAAGATGAAGTCAATCCTAGACGACTTACGCAAATTCAAGGATTTAACTGGCTCAACAGAAAAACGGAAAATGATTACTAATTCTACTTGCAATGATCTAAGGCCTCACCGCTCACGTCTACCTGATATGTATGGTCTACCAAAGGAGTCCTCCTTAGACGTATCCTGTGAATGATCAATTCACCGTATCACAAAGTTGCACACTGCCTAGTAGATAAGCTAGAACCAGTCCGACAGAGATAAGCAACATATACGTTAAAAAATGCATTCCAATTTGGTGACAGACTAAATCGTTCTTCAGCCTACTTATGTTTACCAATAACTTCATAAATATATTCATCTGGTCCCTTCATTTTGGACTTATTACTTTAATTATTCCTGTAACGTCAGCTAAACCAATCATTTGATGTGGATTATATTCAGGTGAGATAAAGAGCACTCTTGCGAGGAATTTAATGAAACGAAGCATTTATTAATGAGTAATGAAACAGTAAAATATGTTTCATGTTTCACTAAAAAAGTGTGACTTATAATTGATTAGTCACTGTGTAGTGACAATTTCATGCTTGTCAGGCCCTTCTTAGTGGAAATCAAATTCTATCGGTTGTGTTGTAATATGGTCACTAGTCTAGGTGATTCGACATCCCTTGCACAGTGTTGAGATGTAAGGTAGTGATTGGAGGTAGTCAGTAAGAAACCCTGTTGAGTCTCCCAGACTAGTGGCCACATCGTAACTTAGTTGACAGAATTCGATCTGACATACATGACATTGGTCGCCATCCAGTAATCAATCAATTGTAAATACATATCAGTCATGCAATAGGTCAGTCGCTGCTCCGGTTAGCTCGGTGGTAGCGTCTCTAACTGTGAAGCTGGGTGACATAAGATTGAATCCTCTGTAGAGCATTAGTCTTCTCAAGAGTACAGTTACACCTTGCCGACGAGTGTCGAATAGCGCGAAACTTAAGTCCAGGGTTTCCTGTTGGCAACCTCCAACCACTATCTGACGTCTCAAAAAGTGTGACTATTAACAAATACATCAAATTGCAGTAATTTAATGATGATGGTCAATAAAAAAGCACTAATAATCTAAATGTATTCAATTAAAATTTTTATTTATTCGCGAAAAAATTTCTAATTTAGGTGGCATCGGTTTTAAACTTACTTGTCGGCGAAAATAAGCCTTCCATTTTCAATGAAGCAGTACGTCAGTTATGCGATTTTCCTGATACTGAAAAATGTAACTGCATCGATTCCTCATCCACTGATACATCACACGTTTCATTTTTTGAAGAGTATGGAAAATCTCTTAGCTGCCTATCAACACGTAATGGAGAAAATATTCAACAGGTTTGTTCTCTCTCACTATATATATATATATATATATATATATATATATATATATAATTCGTTTTTTCTCGCTTCTTGTTATAATGAACAGCTTGATTACATCACTATGTTTTTTGACGGTTTCCACATTGTTCTTTTTGTGAACTTGTCAGGTTAGTCTACATGCATCTTCATCTTTTTAATGTTGCCACTGAGACGAGCCCGCAAAGCATATCAGTTTGAACACAGTAGTGTTACTTTTCGTTCTCTAGTCGTATATGATACTTCACCTACAAATATAGACCACCGGAAATGTAGTTTGTTAGTTTTTCTGTTAGATTCCTCATCATCCTTTTTTAAACTTTAAAATACAATTATATTTGGCCACAGTACCTATTTTGTGCCAAGTTGTTTTATACTATAGAAGCCTACAAAACTAAATAAAATCTTTATATTTCCCGAATTGGAATAGGGCTAGTAACTTTATGATTAGAAATTAATGTTTCAACTAACAAATTAATCATTTTATTGCTCAGAAGTTTCTTTATTATAAAGTTCATTTATTGTAATAGATTCTACCACCTTTATTGTTGTTTGTAAGTAAAATTTATGGTTGATTTCATCTAGTTCTCTCACTTACAACCCAATACAAAGTCGATTCTAGAACCTGAAAGGTTCTTAAGAAACATTACGTCCTTAAACTGTTGATTTAGGATTAATTGATCTATATTTTTATATTCAGTCAATTTTGGATGTATTTAGTTCCTCGTTCTTTGAAAGACCGGATATTACTTGGTTTAATTTTGTGTGTAGTCTTTAGTGGTCCACCTCTACTGTTCAACCCTCAATTAAAATGGAAACAACTGTCCATTCCCGTGTGGTTTTCAATAGTTCTCCAACCAACATCCTTCTTTTAGAAAATCATTTTCAAAGCATGCGAAAATCTCTACAAAACCATTTTATTTACATTTTTATTTTTTTTTTAGTTCTTACAAATAATTTCGAATGATTTGGAATTATTTCACATCGTTCATTCATCCCAATTATTAGTTTATCCTATTAAAATGTTTGAAGAGTTATCTTTTAATATGTCAACTATGTTTAATGTTATACAAGGAAATAAATCAACATTCAAATTTGATATGCTATTTCAACAAGTAAAATCTTTACTAATGGAACAATCTACAGAAAATAAGCAAAGGCATGTTGGTTTGATGGTTACAAATACGGATAATGTAGGAAATGGTGGAGATATGACAGAAATAGGTGAGTGATCAAGCTTTTAAATATATATGTACAGCTCTACTTATCCTATTTTCTTGCATGACGATATATTTACCTCATATAGTAATATCTCTTATATATATTTGATGATGGTCTGCGACTAGTTTGGAATTTTTATTCTTGATACATACATTTTGTCATAAATTTTCTCAAAATAAAACTGTTCGTGCACAGACTTTCCATTTCCATGACAGGTGGGTCTCTTATACCCAAATGTCTTTCTCATATTAAACATGTAAGTTGCTGGGTTTTATTTTTTTTAGTTTGTACTGGTAAATACGTGAACTTAATCTCCTGTCGTATTTTTGTGCTATTTCAGATTTTTCTAATATGACCAAGTTAACGAATAACTTGGAAACCATTCTGAACCCTTCAAAACCTGATAAATGGTTCCAGAGATTACCGACCCTTTTGGATTCTAAGATTGAAGGATCTACTCTACATTGTTTCAGTCTTTTAAAACAAGTCACGACTTCTTTCACTCTCTCAAATTTCAATCTTATAGATCCTGCAAGTAGAGGTTTTAACTATGGAGTTCCTGAGAGTGATGATTTTCTAGATCCTATGCTTTATGTGAAACAACAGATTTTATCAACTATTGTCTGTGCAATTTGTATTCCGAAGTATGTTATATTATTTCCATGGATTTACTTATCCAGGGACGTATATGCTTTTCATGATATAATAGCCACCGGAAGGAATGAAGTAGTAGTTACTTTAACTCTTAGTGATCTTCCAAATGTTTTCCAAATATCTGTACTAATAAATAGTGCCAATGTTTATAATCTTTATTCATTTTTAGAAATCAGTGTAAGTGTTATATACGACAACATTGTAACCGACCACTTAGTGTTCTGTATGTGTCATGTATGCTTCAGGAACTTATGTACTTCTCTTCAATCGCTGGTGGAATTATGGTTGCATAACGATACAGGAGTTCTAAACCGAAACAAAATCAGCTATCTAGTATTTTCTATTTTTCCATAATTCTTCAGCTGTTTTCAGCCTCTAATAAAGGCCAGCTTCTAGGTACTTTTCATCCTAACTCAGTTAAATTAATAAACCTGGTATGAAGTACAAAGCAATATTTGTTCCAATAAGGTGGAAATCACTTATTGCTATTAGTCGTTAGTTTCCTCTTTTTCTTCAAGAGATTTGGTCATTCGACATTTATTTGTTATGAGAAAATCGAAAAAATATAGTGTAAATAGTACGTGAAACTATTAAATGCTACAAAATGATGAATTTCATCCGCATATTGTTTGAAATTTGCAGCTAGATAAACAATATCTCCGTGGATTATCGGATATTGCTCTCTCCTCGTTCGTTTTTGGAACGTAGGTATATTTACTGGTATTAGTATGAGGATTGTGGAGATTGTTAAGATTTTGGTTGAGATCATGAATCAATTGATGTTAGACCACCGTTAGAAACCTGGAAGCACTGGACGGCCGTTTCGTCCTAGTATGGGACTCCTCAGCAGTGCGCATCCACGATCCCGCGAGCGGGATTCGAACCCAGGACCTACTGGCTTCGCGCCTGAGCACTTAACCATTAGACCACTGAGCCGGCATCCAATGGTGTTAGTGTCTAACATCAACCAATCCACGAAATTGCGCGACCAACTTCCATTGTACTGAGGTAGATACCTGTCTCTACCCGACACGGATTAGCTCCACAGGTCACGACTTCTCACTAGAACTCCGAGAATTCCCTCACGAAGCTAGTCACTAGTGAGCACATGTTAATTATTAGTATGAGGATGCGCACTGCTGAGGAGTCCCATACTAGGACGAAACGGCCGTCCAGTGCTTCCAGGTTTCTAACGGTGGTCTAACATCAATTGATTCATGATCTCAACCAAAATATTTACTGGTACTCGAATTTCCAAATCTTTCTTAAACTTCCGGATAGTGCTTAGCTTCAATACTATTGATCATTCAAAGCCTACGGCAGACTATCATTTAAAGATGTATCTGTCAACTTTCCCCACTTTTATTTCCTTTTATTGAAAATATACTCCTAAATATAACCCTTTCTTCCTGTAATCTTTAGTATTAGTCACCTAATCAGAGACTCACTTGTAGACATGGATCGCTCATTTTGCATAGTTCTAGTTAGTGAAGCAGCTCATAAGGTTCAGAATCTTTCACACTCCTTCAGAAATTTTTGCGATGTCTTTATTTCCCTTTAAAATCGAAATTTCGGTTGAAGACTCAGTTTATAACTATGGGCGTTAATATTATCGAGTATGATAATCACTTTATTGTCTTGGAAGTTTTATTTTATTTAATTTTTAGGACTGACATAACTAACCCCTTCATCGGCTCAAAATTGTCGAGTAAATTATTTTCGTAGTTCGCTAACACTTCACATTTCTGTTTCCAAACACTAATTTTAAGTAATGTAATAACACTGTACATAGATTTGATTTCTTTTATTGTATTTTCTTTTGTTACTACCAGTTCATTAATTACTTTGAGTGCATCAGAAGTATTACATGGATTGTTTGATCAGTGTTCTTCTTTGGTCATTTCGTTACTGACACACTCCAGTGAAAATCAGTTACCAACATATCTACATACTATTCTAGCTCCTTATATCCAAGGAACTGATATTTCTAGTCGATCTACATCAACTCGAAATAAAAATTCCGTATCACTTATTCAAAAACTGAATCTTAAAGAGAAGGTTAGTTTTTTCATGGTAATTTTTTCAAGAATTTACCTATTTCTTTGTTAAGATTACAAGTTGTGTTGAAACATCTTTGTCTGATTAAATTACCTGTATTAGATTAGTAGAATATACAAGGACATCGAAGCTTTTTTGTTAGTTTTATGTAATTTAGTCATATTTGTGTGCGATTCTCAAGCAAAACTACATATCTATGTTCTGTTAATCACTAAAAAATATCAATAATTTTTACTATCATAATTAAAAAGGGATATCATTTCAAGTTAATAATAACAGTTGTTTTTATCTCCAGATCCAATTACATTATTAGGTTTGAAACTTATTATTTAAACAAATAACTCATTATGATCAAATAGACTAGAACTGAGTTACTCAAATATGCAGATCTTATAGTTTTATTGGTTCGATAGTATTTAAGCCTATTAACTTTTACCATTTAATTACATAATAGTTTGTAGTTGTAAATTTTAGTGATATATTGTTTCATGAGCATATCAACTTAGCATTTATTCAGACACCTCGCCTATTTAGTGATCATAGAGTTTCTCAGCTTAATTATATACTCCTTACTATTGGACATTAGAATCAAGACAAATATTAATCAATTATCATTTTCATATTACTGGGGTCATAAACTAAATACTTTATTATTATACTATCTGAGTAAAGATTAGTTGGTTGGTTCACGTATTGTGATGTACCAATTAATTCAGCCTTAATGAGTTCATTTTCATAGTGATATAAAGTTATTCAGTCTTATTCACCCACTTAATAAAACTTTATAGCCCATCACTTTTTCTGTTATATATCTTTCAGTATTTATGTTGTTCAATTTTGTTTTTAGAAATCACATCCCACTAAATGTTGATTTTCATTTTTATCAAGTTGTAATGATGCTAACTGTTTTACATATTAATGTTACTCTTTAAATAGGCCCAAATTTTGGAAAAATTACCAGTGTTAACCAATAAAATCCGATTGTTTTTGGAAAATAGCTTGACAATATGTTGTAGTGCTACAAATTTTCAATCGTGGTTGATGGATTTTGTCATATGGTTCCTAGAATCAGGCTTAATTCAAGATGATTTTCTTATATGCATTAAACCGTTTTTACATTTTTCCGTAAGTGGGTTCTTTGATTTTCCTAGCTTTGAGATAAAAACTTGTTTATTTTCTTCACATGTTCTCATTGAAATCATGGTGGCTTTAGAAATTCGAAAACAATATACATTTTATTTTTTAATATATCGCCTCCAGCACGGGAGTGCCATGCATTATATTTTGGTGATCTTGGGTGACAATAATCCTATTTATAAAGATGTTTTTTAAGAAATATGATACCAATGATAATGAGAAATACTAAATATTAAGAATATGGGTCTGAAAAACAGTAAAATGGTATGCATGAAAAATACTGGAACTAAAGGTCTATGTTTAGATAGAGTGAATGAATGTAGGGGGTTGTTACCAATTCTAAGCCATGTCACTCAACATCTCTAATTAGATAATCTGTACCGATAACATCGAGTTATATTAACAGTTAAGGAATTCATGGGCTGATACCACATTATGTTTTGACTCTCTCCAACATTCTTCCAACCTATTGCTACTCCACATAACAACGCAAATCGGGGGTATATAACATATGTGCTAATCAGTTCAGATGATCAAATCTCACTAATTTTTGATCTTTACGTGGTACCATGCATCTTATTCGAAAATTGCCTATTTGTTCGTTCCACAATATCTGAGATATGCTTTGAGGACACCTATGATCAAGAAGCTTCAATCTATCCATGTTTTCTACTTTTATAGATCATGTCTAGAACAATAAAGAGTTTGTTTTATTGCTTAGTATATTTGCTTTTTGGTTTGTAGACGGATATCCGCCCTGCACAACAAGTGACATAAGCTGGCAGACACCAACTGAGATTTCAATAGACACCAACTCTCCAGAGCTATAGATTTCCTAGATACGTATGGTTATCAACGCGCTCAGCTATTTCACTCCCCATCACTAACTTAGGAGTTGATTCAAACCATTCTTGAAGCAACATTTTGGATTTTCAGGGAGAGTAACGCATCCCAAACATAAGCTGGTATTGTTACTTAAGGTGATCAAGAAATTGCGTTTTATCAGCACCTTCACCAACTAGGACTACATCATTTGTGTATTCTAAACCGATAGGCAAACCCTCTGGTAGGGAACTGATCCCTGAAAATTTAGTTTGAGAAAACGTTATTTCTAGGAGAACATGTTTATCAAAAGTAAATAAAAATGAAGGCAATGGGCAACTTTGGGAAACACCATTTGAGGTTGGCAATTCTGATGGAACTTTGCCATAAGCTTTGATTTGACCATTTGCATTGGAGTAGAGAGTCTTCGTAAAGTTTATGCACTTTTTTGATCCACCTTTCGATGACTAATATTGCCACAGAACCTTCCATTCAGTATGATCGAATGCTGCCTTAAGATAAAAAAATATAGCTGTAGTCAGATGTCGACAATTATATCTGTTTTCTACATCCGGATAAAGGTCGAGTATCAATCAGTCTATGTTCAAGTCTAAAGCCAACCTGGTTTTCCCGAGCACCAGATAAACGTCGGATGATTATTAAGTCTAATACTTTCGACAATATATTAGCTAACTGATTCCTCTGTGGTTACCACAAGAGAATTTTGACCCTTTCCTACAGATCAAATCTAGGTGCAATTCCAAAATTCTTAGTATCTCGGGTAACTGTACTTATAACTAAATAATAAGTAAACCTCTGGAGTTAACCGATCACATTCTGTTTTTCTTCCCTTCGTGGAGATAGGTATGGTCTTCTCAATTTCACTAAGATTTGGGGGGTTTGTGTAGACTCTTTATTCAGGTTATTTGGAGATAGTGGGTAATTGGAAGTAGTTAGAAATCATTTGAACTGCTCATTAGTGTTTTACCCATCAGTCTAATTTTCCGAAATGAGAGTAAATATTGGTATTAACAGCCAATTATTTAACACCCGTTTTCTTGTTAATTTGGAACAGCTGTCTAGTGTTACCTATCTCTAATGCCTTTTGATCGCTGTGTAACATCTTGATACATATAAGTGGATCAACCCAACTGAATATGTCAAATTATGTCCGTATTTCATTTCCATCGGTTTTAGACATTATTAATCATAAGTAAACCTTGAGTACTCAGTGTATTGACTATTACTATTTTGCTTTCAGTATGAATTAACTGAAAAACTATGTTCATGGCTAATCGCATATTATCTTATCAGAATCGGATCAAACAACACAGTGGATAAAAGCATGCAACAGTTTAATTCTGATCTCTGTGATGGCATCACAACTTGTTTATCACATGATGTTAATAGTTTGCTTACTGAATTGCCCCGGTTTCAAAAAATATTGCTTGAAACTCTAGTTGCTTTCAATCATTTTATTCAGTGGATTAAGAGATCAGGGTAACTAATATTTCTTCCATTTTACTTTATTTTTATACATAAAGAAACTTTTTACCAAAGATAAATGAATTCAATATTTTCTTTTCTTTTAGCTAAGTGGGATTAATGACGTCCAAACTTTTTTTCACTACAACTTAGCTTTCACGTGGTTACTGTTTAGACGTTATAATTGCCTAACGTTTTCATGTAGAGAGTTGATCTAGTGATCGAGACACTAAACTTTCGACAATAAGGTTACAGTTTTGAATATAGTCCCATTTGATCACTTCTTGAAAGTTGAGTATTTTCATTAGTCATTCGGTCTGAAAGGTGACTCGAAGCTAGTTTACATGAACCTGTATTTAGTCACTGGGTAGTTGTGTAACTGATCTTTTAGTGAGATATGCAGTTTTTGTAGATAAAAAAAAATCTATTCTAGTGATCCAGCCATTACCTCGTGTTTCATTTCACTAGAAATACGTTCATAAGCACCGCATGCTTACAAAATATCGAGTGACAAATTTAGAACTAACTCAAAACATGATTGATTCAGAAATACTAGGTTGTAGTCATCCCAAAGTTTGTATATAGAATATCGACTACAGATAATTTAAAAATGATTGCTGTATACTTAATGTAATATGGATATTGCTAAATGGTTTAATTTACACCGCAAACTGACTTTATTTGAAGACTAAACAAAACCAAAAAACAACAAGTAGTTGTTTCGTCTAGGATAAACTCCTTGTCAATTCTCATCCACTATTCCACCGAATATGGAACCAGGAACTTTGGGCCTCAGTAACTCAGAGGTTTAAAGTTTAAGTGCTTGCAGTGGATCCATACTACTTGGTAGTCCCATACTATGGCGAAATAGCTACTCAATGCTTCCCAGTTTTTAGCAGTTGTCTGACCAAGTAAACTATAAAATTCTTGTATACATACATTTCTTTACTGTAATTGTCACAGAAATAACATTGTTTTTCGTTTGTGTTGTTTCGAGTTTTGTTCAATAATTTTTGCCAATTAATTATCTAGAGAAAATATAACTTTAAATCCTTCAATAACTATCAATTGGTTGTGTGCTGCCGATCGAGCTACTATCCTTAAGAGACCTCAAGAAGCTCGTTTATTTCTGGAATTAGCCTGGTTATCAGAGTAAGTTAGTTTTAATTAACATATTTATCTGGTGAGACCATAACTTATGGAGGATCTTTAAACGATGATGAAATGAACTTGGGAAAATTCAGCCACTTAGTAGGATTCAAAAAGGGTTATGAATTCGTATGAGGAGATAGGATTCAGATTTAGAGATATAAGTTAGGGTTATCAATTAGAGTTTTCTTCACAAACTAATAACTATAATGAAACACTATTTAACCATATAGATTATTGAATTTCGCCCCAAAATTCAAGACCTATCGGGAATCTCATTAGTTTATTTATAGATTATAATCTTGTCTTTAAAATTTAATTAAGTATGCTGATTAATCCTATAAACTGCAATCTTTTTGTCCTTATCAAATTCGGTTGGTGTATATACCACTAAATTTAGCAGCATGTTGTCATATATTTCTAGCCTAAAGAATTCTCACATTTTATTGAAGTAGTCTGTGATAAAAATTCGCTAACTTCTTCATTGAGTATAATATTGATTATTCGTTTGTGTTTTCTCCTTATCAATAGCACATCAGCATTTGTTCATGCTTACTAATTCCAAACCTTTGGTATATTGAGATTCAAGTGAATAGTCCACAAGTTTTGTTTCTTGAGTACTTAAGCTATATGAATATTTTCATTATATCGTTATCTCATAAAGCCTTTATTATTTGTCACCATTCGGAAAAAAATCGGTCCAATATTCAGTCTTTTAAGCGAACTAATGTATTTGGTTTTCATAAAAATCAAATGGGCAAAACTATAATTTACGGACGACTTGAAGTCGCGACTAAATTGGCTTTGAGAAACTTCAACCATTTGAATGTATCCAAATAGGTTTATAAATTAGTGTGGTGAATCAGGATTACAGATTAGAGCTAAGGTTTACATGGGCGGTAATGCCAAAATGCTACTTAACCATCTGACCAGATGAATTTCGCGCGAAAATCCAAGTACTTCACTCTTACATCTGATTGGTCCATCCACAAATTATAGTCCCGCCGTCAAACTAAAATAAAATTTTGTTATTATCAATTTATCTATGTATATTGTTCTATAGAGATATATATTTAGCTTTTTTCATAAACTCTTCATCTTTAATCTAGTAATTGTCCCGAAGATTGGATTACAACTAATGAAACGACGTATCGTATTTGGGTTAATCTTTGTCGTTTATCGGGAGATTTAATGGGTTTAATTGCATCTCAAACAAGTTTTCTAACCTGGATTAATTCTGCACAATCATTTAAAGAGAAATCTACACATTTTGACGTTCATCCTCTTTTAGATAAGACAAAGTAAGTAAAAATGTGTGAAAATTTTCAAATTGTCTTTTTTATTTGCCATTTGATGATACAAATTATTTTCTTCCTTTAAATCGATAAATACGATAACCAGTTATTCATTCAATTAGCTTGTGGAATATATTATGTTATAATTCCTTTCCTATCTGAGGCATATTTTTTAGTATTCGCTAACATCATGTGTTAGTATTAGAGTCAATATAACAGCAGGTAATATTCAGAGTATTACAATTATTCCATATTACTCTTATAACGAGTATTCATAGTCATCCAACGTAGATCTAGTAATTTCCATAAATAATAACACTTTTTTTAAATATAGACCTAATTTAAGTGAAAGGTTCACAAATTCCAACCAATCGTTCATTACCACTTTTTTTTCTTTTTTTATGTCCATCATTTATTCATTTATGTATGCAGATTAGCTGTTCATGAATTATTGGGCAATTGGTCTTATTTACTTAGTTGTTATGATAAATATGATCTAAATGAAGAGCTGGATTCTTCATCAAATAGTGTACATTCTAAGTTGGCTTCATGCTTACAACACTTAGGTGCTAATCGACTATTTGAAAAATTCAGTCGTAATGATTCGATAGATTTAACAGGTAATTATACGTTTATATATATATTCGCAAAGTTTGGTTAAAATTTAAATTTATTATTTATCGGTAAATTATTTATTAAATAATTTGTTGAAATTCCAATTAAATTTGTAAAGAACATCAATGAATTACTGCACAGTCAATATATGTAAATGGCATTAAGTTTCCGTTTCGAAATTTCTCTTTGCATACTTCATTTCAGACAGCTGAACGGTGTCATTAACCTTCAGATAAAGCTCGGTACAAAAACCACTGTTTTGACATTGACTGATCACTGATTAATGGACAATGTCATGTTTGTTTAGTCCTTATCGCGTATCAGATTCTATCGACCATGTTACAATAAAACCACTAGTTTAAGTGGTTCTACATTGTGCCCAGTATGTTCACTGTGATAGTTGTAAATTTATACAAAACACAAACATATTTCATGCAGTTACATAAAAATTTGATGTCGATCACTAATTATTTTTCAGTTTCATGTCATTGTTTATAATCGGATTTTTACTGATGACACCTATAAAATCATGAAAACACGTTTCTGAGCAATTTAATCTTTTTATGTGAGAGATCAATTATTAAAATACTTGGATTTAAAGCAATAAGCTACGTGTTGGGATCCTGCTGTACCTACGTACTTTGATCTGGGTTGGTGGTTATTACATCACTAGATATTGGCACCACAAACTTAATGAAAAGTAAGAGTTTTAAACATTTGAAACTTTCTTCCCTGACGCACTTGTTATAAAAACTCTTTCGGAACAGATAATTTGGTTATAGAGTAAGGCACAATAATGTGTTGATAAGACAGGATAACAAGCATTTCTAATAAGCATGAATAAAACACTAACCATAATTATAGTAAACGTTTTAGGTTGATGGAGGTAATCGACAGTAAACCCTGGAATCACATGAAACCTAGGTTCAGAGTTTTTTTTACCGAGAATCTTCGATCGACTAACATAAAAGTGTAGTGTACGGTATGTTCAGTTATGTACACTAGTGGCTGAAGTGCAATTTGATCGATAGAATTTGACCAGCATTAATGACAAGACAAATATGATATCATTTACTACTCGTTGGTCGATCAGTGTATATATCTCAATCCTAGAAAAAATAAGCCGCGACAACTCAACATATATTAATAATAAATATCAGATTTTCATATTCTTTATAAATTTACAATTATTATATTCAATAAATAGTACGTTATGTATAATTTACAATGAATCCAGTTTTAAATATAATTACCAAAGTTAAACCTCCCATTACAAATGCATTTAAGTCAGTCCCAATTGTTAACTTCTTAGAATGTCTTATAATCACCCATACACATTACACTTATTGTATTGTGTTCTTCTTATATGTGCTTTATAATAGCTAGTAAACAGTCGGATTTAACATTAAAAGAACTACGATCAGCTGCTGCATGGCGTCTAAACCAATGGGATAACAAATTAGATGATATTTCTAATTTAGATTGTTCATATTCTCATTCGGTTTGTCCACCTACAAATTGGAAGAATTGTGGTTTAGAAACTTCCTTTTACTGGCTTTTACGAGCTGCTTCACAATCGGATTGGTGTAGAGTATCAGAAATAGCTACTGCTCAAAGGTAAATGGTTCATTCGATTTTTTGCTTGAAATGTTTATTTTCTAATGTTATTTAGAACTCTTTACTTAAAGATTGTTCAAATCCTTCAAGTATACATATTCAAAAATCCAATACATACTTCTTTATGAATCTTATTACTTTTATTAAAGCACTAGCATTCAACATTGAATGAGAGACGATAACTCTTTATTCCTAGTAGCTTAATGGATAGTCTTTTTGTATTTAAAGTCCTGACTTGAAAGCTCAGTACAGAACACCAATTGCGTCTTGTTAGGAAGTCCTTCTTTGGAAAGAAATATTCATCCAGTTTAAATTAATAGCTTGTCGTTGTCTACGAAATTAAGAAGACGAAAAACGAATGTTCGGCGCTTTAACTGGTTTGGTGGTCACGGTGGATCCACATAGGGGAGTTGAAAAGCCCTGATTCTAAATCAATGCTACTTATGGACTTCAAGATCCTGAGGGTACAAATTGCATATGAACCCATTGTTGGTCACCGGCTATCATGGAACTGCATCTCCTAACGTTGCTCCACTGCCTCGTAGATTAGAACTCTAGATTAAAGGCTCTGGAATCGATCCCCTAAGAAAACCACTTGCTTTGATTTTAGTATCCGGTTAGTATTTCAGCTTTCACACAAATCAAATAACAAAGTGTAACACATACATATTTAATGCTTCCCTGTACCAACATTTATATATTTACATAAATAAACTGAATGAGAAAATTTTTTTCTAAAATGCTAAATATTACACACAATAATTAAATCTCATTCTATTTTACATTATAATAAATAATTTGTGTTTTTTTTTGTTTTGTTTCTAGTGAATGTTTTATTGAAGAATTATATTCAGATACAATACAATTTATCTCATCTGATCAATTAATTTTATATGGTCAAAAAATTAATTTTTTAAATATTTTAAATAAATTAAGTAATCATTTACCATATAAACACAATTACAATTATTGTTTACAATTAATATTAAATTTATTTAATTATTCATTAAATTGTATTAATTTCATAACTACTACTACCAATACTACTGATACTACAAATTATACTCAATTAAATCAATCAATATTTAATACATTAGAACCATTTTTAACTTTATCAATTAATTTCATTCAATTAATATTAATAAAAAATATTTTTATTAATTCTATTAATAATCAATTAAAAGATTTATTAATTTTCACATATTTTTATTATGCTGAAATAGCAACAATAAAATCATCAAATATTTATTTTATAAAAAATTATTTAAATAATGCAATTTATTGTCAAAATTTATTTAAAAATAATTTTAATAAAAGTATAAATTATCATTGGCAAAATTTATTATGTATAAAACTTCAATCATATTTAGAAAGAGAACAAGGTGATTATGATTTATCTATTAGTCGATTACAATCTGGTTTACAAATTGTTAATAAAGTAAGTATTATTTTTTTTCTTTTCTTTCCTTTTTTTTAAACGAATAATATTCTTTACAAATAATAATAATAATTGGAGACATATATTAATAATTTTGGATAATTGGAATAAAATCTCCAGTAAAAATCATATTCTTATTATTACCCACAAATGCTCTGGTACGGTCGATGGTGGAGAGATTTATTTCTAGTACATAACAATGGGAAGATACAAGTGAATTGAAAATTTACTCAATTGCACAAGCAGGTAACTATCAGAACTCAGTAGCTAAGTGCAGAACGTGATGGTGTTTGAAATGAATGGTATTGGGTTCGAGTCCTGGAGTGGACATCAACTCTGGGATGCATGTGCATCTAACTGACTAGTCCCAAATAAGACGAAACATGCGTTTTTGGATTACACTGCTAGCCACTATCCATCTTTGCTTAAAGAGCTTATGACTTGAAGCTATATTGAGGCAATCCGCGCAGGGTGTACATAAGCCAACATTAGACTGATCAATTGCAGTCCTAAATAAAAATGGGAAGATACAAGTAAAACAACAAGCAAATTTAACAATAATATAGTTTACATCGTAACCTGACCTTAGTTAAACAATTATTTAAAACCAGGAAGCACTAAATAGTTGTTTCATCTTAATAGGAAACTTTTCAGGAGTGAACATGCATGACTCACACCCAGGCTCCAATCTAGAGTCGTCGGTTTTAGGTGCAAGCACCTATTCTCTAGACCAGTAGATCGGAATCCAATAATGTATATGTTTTACTTCAATCCATTCTTGATATTGTGCAACCATCTTCCAATGACGTTACTATGTAACTGATAAGTCTGTTAATTGAACACTAGATTCGGTTCCTAAGCTCTTCTTGTAACCCCCAGGCTAGATCTACACAGCAACTTGAACATGAAGCAAAAGGCGGGAAATATGGAAGAAACGCTTTCCTCTAAATGTTCGTTTATGCACAGAAAATTTGGGGTTTTTATGGTATTTTAGATGGCTCTGCGTTTCTGGAAAATTCTGGAACGCTACTAAACATAGTACCAGTGTATGTAACCATCCAATCAGAAACTCGATATATGACTTTTCACTTTTAGATGTTTCTGGCAAAACTTTTAGTGAAAGCTGACTGGAAAATATGCTTCGCAATGTTTTCAAAGCATTTTCTTGGCTTTTTTCGAGGAATTTTATGGATCTCTCTAACAGTAACTTCACCACATTTGACATCGTTTAAGTCTACTAGTCTGCGATCCTCATTAGAACTCAGGGAATTGCCTCTAACAGTTGGTCACTATTCATCACATGACCATGATTATTGTAAAAGATTTTTCAAGATTGTTAAACTCCATAGTTTATATTATGAATTGGTTTAAGACAACCATTATTCAGTCCATGATATAAATTTTAAAATTTAACAATCTCCACAAACTTTTAATAATAATAATAATAGTTGTTATTATTGCGTTAGTAAATACGATCGCAGTTCTGCCAACACGTATAAGCGAAAATTATTGTTTTCAACTACATCGTCATCACCATGGGAACCTTTAATAGTTTATAATCACAGCTGTTGTTGTTATTATTATTTGCATCAATGAAATTAAATTGTTTTGGTTGTAATTTCATCTTCATTTGAGATCTTAATATTGTAAACCTTTCGAATACCAGTTACACTTAAAGCTTTGTAATATTAGTGGACGTTCTGCTGAATGTAAGTCGTGATTGTGATCTTTTGTAGGATAGCAATTCTAGTTGTTATTTTCAAAATGACTATGAGATAACTGCACGTAAATCGATGCTTTCGTTAACTCATTTTATTTAGACTGAGTATAAATCCCATCAAGTTTATTTAATCCGATTAATTCTGAAATAGTTTTCATAGTACTAAATGAAAAACAAATGGTTGTGATTCTCCGAAACTCGTAATGATTATACATGCATTTTGCTATTTTAGATCGCTTATTCATAAATAACCAAGACTGTGTGTCAACCATCATATTTAGTCATTCGTTAATCTACCTTTTGGTTATTGAGACATACAACTCTTAATCTTAATGATCAATACATGATGTGGAAATTACAATTCTCTTATCAATTCATGTAACATGTTGAAAATCCTATTGATAGTATGAAGTCAACATCTTAAGTTGAGATATTCTGTAAAACACTGATTTCATAGTTAGTAAAACATATAATCCATGATACATCATTATGTGTTATAAACTTAGTGATGAATGTAACCTTTGAATTAATATCTTGTTCTGTTGATTTATTGTTCTTATTTCCTTAAATTTTAATGTTTATTTCATTTAGTAATTTCATCATTTCTATTTACAATGAAATTTTATATTTAGATGGTAGAACAAACGGATAAATCATCTGAACATTTAGGCGGTTATATTAATTGCTATATTCATGGTATAACTGTTTTATGTAATTGGTTATATGAATCTCGAACAAAAAGTGCCACTGATCTCTTGCTCAACTATATTAACCCTGTAAATTAGTCATGTTTCATATAAATATTTACTCCTTGGTATTTTTTTCTTTTGTTGTGTCTTAAAATTAATCCTATGATTTTGAACATACTGACTGTCTTCGATTACATTGTCAGATCTTCTCGTTCGTTTTACAGTTTATGAGTTTGTGAATGTGATAAAACCACTAGCGATTAAAACAATTAGTTGGTCAATATTTTACTGGATATATATTTATAAATGAAATATGATTTTTGTTATTTTTAGTAGCTAATATTAATCGACTGGTATGAATAATTTAACCTAGTGCAATGAAGTAGATTCGATTGGCAATAACCTTAACTTTTAATAAGTGGAACACGCTTTAATCGACTGAGATAGTTAGGGTATGTATTGCGTATGTCCATCCATCGACTACCTCGACTTGCGATTACAGTCGGTGTAGGGATAAGCTGGAGGAAATTAGGAACTCCCAAACCAAGTTGTGACATCAGGCCATGAAAACACTAACTGTTGGGCTGAGTCATGTAGGTAGGTGCAGATAGACTGGCTGGGGTCTGTGTGATCATCATAATCAATGGTTAGAAACTTTACGTCACATTGCTCACAACCGTTCGCAGTGTCGCAGATGCATTCACTCACTATCTTCCCTTAGATCTTAAGTTTTCAAATTCCTTATAAGGTTTTTTATTTCATTAATTTAAATTTATTAAATCGTGTCTTCAATGCCTAATCTATCCTATTACCACCAATACCGTTACCAGCTCTACTACTGTGAGATTTGCCCTAACAGTCTCATCTCTCTGTGCTAATGAGTCGTGATAACTTGACTCAATGTACACATGTGCCAGGCTCCACGTTGCGTGCGAATGACCGAATTTCAATCTTAAGGTCTTCTTAATTATTGTGAGTGATAGTGAACTGCTAGTGTATACCGCAGAGAGTTTTGTTATGTATATTCTAATTTGTGGAACAATCAAAGGCAGTAAACGGCTTAACTTATAAGATGGTAGTACAAAATTATCAAGTTACTCAAGAGTTTTTACATGATCATAATATGACTTTTTATTCTTATGAAACAGCTCATCAATTAATTGTGTAGAATAAAACACACAAACAGAAAGCATTTAAGACTAGTTTCTACCCTTGTTTTTATAATAAAATACGATATGGATACTTTAATTGTGATTGGTAAAAGTTAAATCTAAGTTGCTTGAATATCTTACTAATGTGATAAAGATTTTAATGTCATTTGTATAGTTGCTGAGATTTATGGAGGGTCATTTTTTTCATCATTCAAAAAACCCTAATTGTAATCCTTGTCGTATTCTCTTGTATGTTTTCTAACCAGAAACTCCTTCCTCAAAACACTAACTTACTTGTTAAACTATTAGTGTTCAGTCTCCAGTCGCGCTTCACCTAATTTAGTGTTAGTCTTACTAACCATCTCGCACAGCTCAGGATTGAAGTACTGGTATGTACCTACTAACTGAGTAGCACTAAATTTTCTAATTCCAAACATACTACTTGTAGAGTCATCAATATTTTTATACCTTCTTTCATGTTGTTTTATTATACTGATAAAAATGACCAGTTCTTGTTACAGTAATTATCGTCTCTTTCAATGAATTCCCTTTCAATTGACTTAATTTTTAGGCCATTAATTTAGCTCAACGTTTAAAATTGAATCCTGATGCGAATGCTTTTATGAGTTTGGCTAAATTCTCCGATGCGCAATTCACTACTTTAAATTCATACTTAACATCGTCCAAATTCGCAACTAGACAAAACTTTCTCACACAAGCTCAAAAGGATGTTGTTGTCCTATCAGACTTAGGTGAAAAAAAGGTATCAATTAGTGTTTTTTTATATAAATATTCATATCAATCCCTTTGATGTTTTCTTAATGGTAGATAAGCAAAAAAGTGTTAATAAATTAACCTATGTCTGTTAGGCAATGGTTGTAACACTTATTTTATAAAAAATTCTATTAATCTATATAGTATAGCACACAAAAGAAGCAGGTTTGTGTTTTCGAGAACTTGCACGACAATAGATACTCGATAATAGATCATGAAATCAGTAAGACTAAGCACTCTTACATTTAGTTTGGTCGTTTGTGTCTATCCTTGCCTACCAACCAATCATAGCTTAGTTCAGTCGGCATATCAGCTTAGTTCTCACCTTGTGTGTATTATCTAATTGCTATAAGTAATCGTAAAGCTGGAATCCTTATATATTATTTATTATCCAGGTAACTATTTAATCCTCTTCAACATGAAACGCGATTCGGATCAGGCATCCATTCTTTATAGTTAGTCAGTCAATAATAACCAATGTAGAATCTATTAAATATATGTGCATAAACCTATTCTGAATAAGTTTTTACTTAACTGCTATTTTAGTCATTATTCGATTAAAAAGTGTTTATTGACCAGAAGATCTATACAAACATTAATTTCTAAGTAGAATATAACTACTCAGTAAAATACCATTATTGCAACACGTATCACATACTTAACTTTAATTACAGATAGTAATCATTGTATATTCGGATCCTTAACGTTTGAATTCACTTTGTCTTAACGCTGCTTTTAAATCATAGTCATCATCAGCATTACTGTAATTCTATTTTCGTACCAACTTATACATTCTCGCCCTATTGATATTTATCATAATATTTTTGTATGCTCATAAAATATGATGTTTCATTTTATGTTCAAACAGTATAAACTCTTTGTTGTATATTTGTTATTAGAGTGGTAGCTGAGTGGTTAAGATATTCATCTCACCCACTGAATCTCAGGTCCGAACCCCGCCTCATCTATTTCAGTTAGGTTAGCAGGCTAATATTACTAACCCCTCACATTTAGAGTGTGGCTCGTACACGAGTTACTAAACCTGTTATCCTTCTTTCCTCATCTATCCATTGAATTCGTTAGTCAGAAAGTCAATCTCTGTCCATGATTGTGAGTAATATAGATATTGTGGCTAGTGTGGTTATTTATTGATTGAGAGGTCTTGAATGCACACTGCTGAGATGTCCCATACTAAGACGAAACGGTCGTTCAGTGCTTTCTGGTTTTCAGTGGTTGTTTAACTTTGATCGATTCATGGTTTCAATAATCATTTATTGTTTTGACGTAACAACGTATTGACGTAATAAGTGTTTCAGCATTATTTTAGCGTGGAATTTTTCGTTTACAGATGAAGTGAAATAAAATTGTAAAAGCTGCCTGTTTTTAATGTGCTTAAATTAAATAGAATTATTTTTAGTTTAATAAAAATGACAGTTTACCTTTAAATTTTGGATCTGTTAAAATTCATTGTCTCACTATCTTACTTTCTCGCTCTCTCTCTCTCTCTCTCTGTTCATCTTTGTTTATCACAGTCGTTTATTACGGTTACTTCAACGTCAATCAGCTCTGGAAATTGATGAACTAACTGCATTGACAACAGATGCTGATCATTTTTTAGAAGCTAGCATTGATGCTTATGCTCAGTGTTTAATTCTATCTGATGATCATAATTTATCGGTACAGTTGTTGAATTAATAAATGCAATTTAAATTTTAAGATTTTTTTTAGAATTTACTACAAAGTGAAAAATTAAAATATGTAGTTACTAGGTAACATGGGATTTTTTTCATTTTTGAGAACAATCAAATATTTGTGGACAAGATGATAAATTATCTTCCTTGTTGACATTGTACTATTACAATTACTGTTCGAAAATATATTCTTTCATATTGTATTCACTATAACTAACATGTTTTATTTCAGTAAATAACTGGTTAGAAATAACAACTCATTTCTGCTATTATTGTTTTAAGCAATTATTATAAATTTCTTTTCCTTGAAAATATCATGATCCATCTACACTTATTCCACTGTCAAATCATCTGTCTGTATACATCTTCATATTGTATACAGTTTACTACATAGAATAGATACTTTTAACACAGATTATTGTGAATGAAGACAGTTTTCTCTTTCTGTCATATAGCTTTTAGCTAACAAAAGGTTTAATTTTAAAAATTTTATTAAATGTATTAAAAAAGATTGAGTAAACATTCATCTATTGTTTGCTTACATGTCCTTGGATGTAGAGTGATAAGAGTATTTTTGATAGTGGTGTAGTGAAGGAGAACACAAGTGAGGACAATCGAATCATATTTAGCACATTACAGAGTTACTTGGTAAAATAAAAAAACCATACTATAATACCTAATTTGCAAAATGTTCAATAATTGTCTCGGACTTCATTGTTCTTGCATTTCTATACTAATTGCTTTCTATTCACATTCTTCCTTTCTTGATCTTCCCAATCTTCTGTTGTCAGACATTGCATTCCTGACTCGCGTTATATACTACTTATGTTAATATAAGTAGCACGCACCACAGTGGCAGAAAAGCTGTTGTTGTGATAACTTATGACATGTGAAAAGAATAATTCGGAATTCGACAACGTTAATTGTGAAATCGTTAATGTTGAAAGCTATTTTGAGATTTGTACATCAAGATTTTATTCTGTTGTGTTAATGTTAATTTCCTATATGTATCAACCATTTAGATGTAGACTCAGGACAAGTTTTTATTCATTTAGTTAATATATTTTTACACTAGTAAATTTTACGTTCAAACTTTCATTCTTCTTTTCTGCTTTCAATGTTCATGCCAGATTTTTCGCTTCATTTCTCTTTGGCTGTCTTCTATCAATTCAAAGTTTCAAAATAGAGCTTCAAAAATCAACAAGATTATGTCAGAACGTCTACCAAGTATTCGAGCTGATAAATTTCTTCCTCTTGTTCCACAATTAGCAGTTCGATTATCCAGTAAATGTGATGCTGACTCATCTTTTCAAAATATTTTAATGAAAGTGGGTTGTTCGACAGAGTTAATATTTTGTATTGTTGGATTTAAGATTTTTATTGTTTTCAGTTATCTATTATACATTTTTCACTAGTTGCTATGTTTTTACCTAAAAATCATAAACATTTGAAATTAAAACAGGATATACTAACGGTCAGTATCTTTTGTGTTTCAGTGGTTTGTGTACCAAACCATGGAGTATTAGTGGGCTAATAGTTAATGTACTCGATCTTTAACTGTCAAGTTTCAGGTCTGAGTCCTACTTCATAAAATTTGTTTTCGATAACCGAGTGTCATTAATATTTGTCCTACAGTTTTAAAATTATGGCTGGAAGCTGCTTATCTTCTGCTGTCTATGAAGAAAAAACAAAATAATAAAGTATAGTCCGTCTTTGAGTTCATGTAACATTTTTTTCCTTATTATATACAGTATAATATAATATATGTCTTTATTCTACCTATTCATAATGACAAAAATCATCAAAACTTAGTGAACATTGGATAGTTGATTTTTTGTCCACTGTATTATATTTGCTCTTTGTTTGTTTTTAATTACATTAAGAAATTGTAATCATTTTTCTACAATACAAATTGTTTGTCACCGAGTATCTGAGTATATAGACATTGTTAGTAACTTTCTTTTAGATGAACAGTTTTCCTTTTTACATATTAAACTGAATTTTTTTTCAAAAAAAAAACGAAATATTCTAGCTAATAGAACGAATGGTAGACTGGCATCCTCATCATTCAGCATTTACTTTACTATTTCTTGTCAATGCTAAGTTAGATGATGATGATAATATTAATAATAATAATAATGGTAGTCATCAACGTTCAACTCGTGTAAATTCATTGAAAGCATCTACTGAAACAATTCCTAATCAGGTTAGTTCATTTATTCATTCATGACATGTATACAATTTATCCATCAAAATTTCATTGCTAACACGTTGAAGTAATATGTATACAGTTAGAATAAATAGTGCATAGTATATTTTTTTAAAGCATAAAATAAATTAAATAAAGACTTTACGAAAATGTGAGGAGAATAAATTAATTTATAGTACTGCAACTAATTTCAACTTATATTCTGGTTCTTTGATGCTATTTAGTATGGAACTATGTCTTATGTTTTCTGAAATTGAGTCTATCAGTTTACACGACATGCCAAAGTATATGCATTGAATGAACAGAAAAGATGGTTAATGTCTGGATCTCTGGGCAGTAATCCAGTTGCTCGTCATTTGTTTACTGGTGGATACAATGTTCATGTTTAAAATTTCGAAATAACTAATAATTCAGGAAATCCTAATTTATTACATTTTACTGAAGCCGTTGCTATAAAATGACTCAAACCAAATTCAAAGTTCTGCAAAGATGGCTATTGATCCCATTTTGTTTTGATGACCTCCGTTTATAGTACATTCATACAATGCTGTACTAATGTTGTACTAATTGTCATCAACTACGAAATAAGCTTTGTGCTTTCTAAGAAAAACATAATGTTCAAAAGAACTATTTCTACTTACCTTTAATAATTTTAAAATATTTAAGTTAAAAGTATTTCAGCCAGTATTACACTTCCCAAGTTGATTACTGATTTTCAGTCTAGTGATTAAGATACTTACATTCAAACCATTTGTTTATCAGGTTCGGACCATTGGTTTTCTTTCTTTTCGGGTATCTGCGTACCACCGCTAACATTTATACAAATAATGTGACTCAAAATGCAGTACGCAAAGCTGTACTTGATAAATGAGCTACTACGAAATGTAAATTTGACCTAGAAGTCTATAAATAAAATTATTTGTATTTAAAAACTTTCTTGTGTGTCCACATCATGCATTGTTGTGCGTAGAAAATTGTGTTTGTATCTATTGTTTGTGTCTCTATTGATGTTTTTTTTTAATTTCAGTCATCCACAGAGCTAAGTTGCCGTATACAAGCTGCTCAACAACTTTATAACCGATTATCTATTGGTCGACGCAAAGAACTTTTATGTCAAATGAAATATTTAGCTGAAGCTTATGTTGACTGGGCAAGTACAGATGTTGATAAATATAAAACAAATACAGGTAACATATAAAGACTATTTATTATCAACTTAATACCAAAAACGCTTGTTAAGCAACGTTTTTGAACAATTTTTCATAAATTAGACGCATATCATTAATATCCTAAAGTTTATGTGTTCAATTAAAAAACAAAGGTTTCACTACTGGGATTATCACAGTCCATATCGATAACAATTAAAACAAAGCACGTGTTCCGATTACTTTATGTTTCTCTTAAGTTTATCCTTAGTTAACAATAAATTATCTGTTTTCACTTTACCAAGCCTTGCGCTGAACTTCAGTTGATCATTGAGAACCTTTAACGCGAGCTATTTGAAAAGAAATATTTCTTCGCCATATTCTTCTTCTTACTAAATGTCTAGATTGTAATTCTGATTATATCAGTTTATTCATCTCATTTCAAACATAACATAAAATATCACCTATAGGCTTCAAGTAATCCGGTAGTTTTTTTACCTGTTACTCATTTACCAAGTATAGATTCGTGCATTCGACTATGAAGGGCAGTGATGTCCGGATGCCCTAACTGAAATAAAAAGAACGGAACTCGAACCTGCGACCTATTGTTTGAAAGATAAACAGATTAACCACTATCCTGCTAGGATGGTCTAGTAGTACTGGCCTAAGTAGGTTTTATTGAAAATAACTTTAGAACTATGATAAACGCCCAAATATACCTATTTATCAGCACTCACCGCAACATACATATCAGGAAAACGGAAGGTATTCTCTCTGATCACCTTTCTGAATACATGTCAAAATAACTTGATGGTTAGCACTTCTAGATCGCTTAGTAGTGATGGTAGATAGATACATCATAGATAGAGGTCATGTATGAGATCTATTTACAGAGTCCCAAGTAATCAATAAACAAAAAATTGATTACTGTTATACGCAAGATCAACATTGATTCGCTATCTCAACATCAAATAATGCTTATGAAAATACACTTTTTTTATTTTCTGTGAACACGTTTCGTACATGGGACTATACTAAGTTGATTTTTGTAACTGTTATTTTAAGATATTAGCATTTTGGTGTATGAATAGCACATTGCTGCGTTCACTTATTATACTAATCATATATAGTAAAAACGTGAGATTTTCTGTATTTGAAAGCCTATCATAGGAAACTATAGTTCATAAAAACTTTCATCTAAATTTCATCGAACAGTTTCACAGTATTTAGGCCCCGGGTTGATGTGAGACACTAAAGAGGTTGAATGTATTTGTAAAATCTCAGTTGATATCTTACAACAGGAAATTAGATTTGTTTTATAATTCCAAGTGGAGAATTGTTTGTTTGTTTTTTTGTGAATCTACGTATTTGGCTTTCTATACTATTAAATGAAACATTTTGGTTTTCGTCAATGCATTTTCAACTTTCACACGTAATACATATGTGTATTTATATACCATAATTACAATTTTCCCTTTCAGGTAATATCTCCCTTCCAAATGGATGTAAATTGTATGGTTTGGTATCACCAAGTTTACAACGTTCTTCACGTCGTACTATGGATTGTTTGCTGGAGCTTGTCGCACTACCAACATGTACTTTCCGTGTTGATCGATCAGGGACATATCCGAATTCTAGTTTAATTCGTGTGGCAGGATTCTCTCCCGACTTTCGTCTTGTCGGAGGAATTAATTTGCCAAAAGTTATCAGTTGTTTAGGTACCGATGGGAAATTGTATCGGCAGTTGGTGAAAGGTAAAGATGATCCAAGACAAGATGCAGTTATGCAACAGGTTTGTTAAACATTATACATCCACACTCAGTATTTAAGAATTCTTTTTGACCTTAACTGTTATTCAAACGGACTTATATTGATATTTATGTGGAATACAATCATGTATTCTCATAATAACATACAACAAAGTACTGAACATTATTTCAATATGGATTTATTTCCAACTGTTGGTTGGTTGATTTACATTTCCAGGTTTTCACTGCTGCTAACTGCCTTTTAACAAAATATGGCAAATTCAATAAGATTGATTTACCACACTCTTCAACTTCTCAAGTTAATATGCTTAAATATCGTGCTAACTGGCTGGATATGGATAATGGACTTCGCATACGCACCTATAAGGTTAGATTATATTTTATTACGTAATCGAATAATTGAGTGTCATTAATCCGATTGTAAGAAACCAAACCATTTTCAACCTCTTTATCTACATTTATTTCCATTTTTATCACAAATTATTTTTTTCTACTTTTTAGGTTATACCAATGGCTCAGCGTAGTGGTGTTATAGAATGGTGTGAAGATACTGTACCATTAGGTGATTGGTTAGCCAATGAGCGTACTGGTGCTCACCAACGCTATAGACCCCATGATATGCCCCCGATTCAAGCTAAGCAGCGTTTGGGAGTTGTCAAAGATAAAACTCCTGATCGTAAATTAGTAGCATTCAATGAAATATGTGAAAAATTAAAGTAAAATGTTCCTCTTTTTTTCTAGCATATTTATTGCTTATATGTTACTTTTATTCCCTAAATAATAAAGTACATTGTATGCAGTACTATTAGCATATAATGGGTTACTTCAAACATACTCCGTTTTAAATAGCTCTATCAAGTCAGTTATATTAGTTTTGAGGCATAATTTATAAAAATTCTAATATTTTCTTTTTGTGTGCTTTAAAATTACTAAAAATAAACAATTGTATATCTTAAGACTACTATTTAATAATAAATTCTTCAAGTTACTACTATACACTCGTTTATGTATCGTGACTAATTCTACTGATTAACAGACCAACATTGGTGTTCTGTACTTACAGTATTTACTATATTGCCTGATTGTTTACGAATAGAAAGAATTATGTATTTTAGCTTTAAGATGGAATATTTCTTTCTTTTTTTCAATAACGAATATTCTGTAAATTTATGTCTAAAAACACTGTATCAATGCATACTTTACAGTGTTGTATTGTGAGATAGTGACAACGATTTTTAGTTCAGGAGAATAATTTTGTTGAAGTCGAATTCTCTAAGCTGAATTGGTTCAATCGTCAAAGTTTTATTGTCTTTCTAAACATTGTATTGTCAGCATTTTCTGGGATCACTGGGTAAGTAATAGTGAGGTTAAACGTAGAGTATTAAGAAATGTTGATAAGTGAGTTGATGGAGTTGTGAATCTTTATTGACTGAGTTGGTTAGGCCATGTCTTACGTATGCGTGAACACAGATTACCACGACGCGCAATGCTGACTAGTGTTGGACACGGATGTATTTTAAACAATCGTTCACTAAAAACACTTATTTAAACTATGATCGAAATCCCAAACAATCGTACAATTGAATCTTCGTCTATTTTTTTCATATCTGTGTCTTCATCAACTGTTATCGTTACGATGATACCGTTTTGTGTTTTCTCTTTTGCATCATTTAATGTGATAATTTTTGTTACATATTTCTAATGTCATTTTTGACTGCATAAATGGTACCACAAGTGTTTATTTATGGTTAAATTGTAGCAAACAAACTTTAAACTTCATAACTGAAAAAACTTGTAATTTATATAACACACTTTTCGAATGTTTAATATATGCCTTACAAATTTCCATAAATCACTTTATGTAAATGTTTGTCTACAGGGTAATTAACTGGCTAAGATAAACAAGAGCCATTACTCTTTTTCCTTAGTCTTTTCAATGTAGCACGCATCAAAATATGTAATTTAGCTAATAGGAATTTCGCACTATTGATCTTAATTGTTTCTTTTGACAAAGAAATGTATAACTATTCTTTTTTATTTGTACTACTGAAAGAAAGGTATCACTTGACTGTGAACATTCTGTTAAGTAACGTTAAAAATAACTTTATGACGACTTATATCTTCTTTATGTAAACTTGTGATGTCATATAACCAATTAATTCTCTCATGATACAATACCATAGTGGTAATATTTTTAAAGATTCAGTCTGGTTTGTTTCACATTTGATATTGTTTCCAATATCTAATTTGTTTGTTTTGTTTCACTGTTATGTTCTTTTTCTTATTAAATTATCACTAGACCAGTGCTTGCTTATTTCTTTTTGGAACAATTTCCTAATCCGCAAAATTGGTTCATCTCTCGAATGGCCTATATTAGATCGATCGCTGTGACTAGTGTAGTTGGTTATCTTGTTGGATTAGGCGATAGACATCCCCATAATTTATTATTACATAAATCTACCGGTGAAATTATTCACATTGATCTTGGTGTGGCTTTCGATCAAGTAAGATTTTCACATAGTTATTGTTTGTTAATTCTTTCATAAACAACTCGGTTGTTATTAATAGTGTTATTGTGAAATAATATGACCATCTATACATATCAAACAGATATCTCGATAACACTCAAACCAATTACTACTTTTTTGATGTTTGTGTTTATACCCTCAGAATTCACCGTTAGAGATAAAGAAAAAACCAATCGGTTTAATACCGGACTCCAACTAATGAAATAAACTTTAACAATTTCAATTACTAGAAGCGTTCAACGTGTAAAATCTATTCTTCTGAACAAATTCTTTATGTAAATAAAATTAACAAGATAATTTTTGTTTTTTTCCAAAATATTTCATTATTTTTTTATTGAATCTTTTACCCAGGGTCGACTTTTACCAACTCCAGAAATGGTTCCTTTTCGATTAACTCGTGACCTTGTTCACGCTTTAGGTCCATTAGGTTTACAAACAGGATTTATTCCAGCTGCTGAAGCTGTATTACGAGAGCTTCGAAATGGATCTGATGTTATTCTGACTTTATTGCAGGTAAGATGTTTCGTAGTTGTTCTCAAAGATTGGAACTTCACATACTTGTTTATATATAAAGATAGAGATTCTCTCTGAAGAAAAAGAATCGTTTGTAAGGCTATTTTCTGCATAGATTATTGAAATATCCGTTTTTCTAGACTGTTTTCACTTTTTAAGTATTCTTTACATCATAGTTATATTTTTCACAACTAAATAGTTCATTGCATCATTTAACCGTGACTTTCATTATATTCTGACTCACGTAGAGGTGACAGCCGTCCTTAAACCTCAACTGAGTGTATTGTAAAGCTTTAAATTTCTGACTGAATAATACGTCAAAACTATTATTTATGTATAGAAACTGAACATATAATGACGTGTCTTCCGCCTCATTTGAAACTTACCTGCATTTCACTGTCAGTGTTTTCACTAACATTTCTACCTATTCTTTACCTATTTATACTCTAAAACGTTATCGATTATAGCCACTACAATAGGTATCAATTTGTTTAATGAGTTTCATCGATTTCGATGCCAAAGAACAACGATAAGAAAAGATAAGCCTCAATTCGATCCCCACATGTGAACTCGTGGATGTGCACTTCTAAAGAATCCCATACTATAACAAAGATGATCGTCTATTACTCCCAATTGTTTAATGCTTGTCTAACATTGATCGATTCATCATTTCGATGAAAATAAATAACCTTTTTCTGGGTGTAACATGAAACTAGATTTACATTATCTCTGTCAACAATATATTTATTTTATTGTTATAACCCAATGATTGGTATGACCGATGGTACATTCAAGGTCTTATAAAAAAATTTCATGTAAAGAAAACTGCGCCGACTTCAGTAATAGCACTAATCGTAATAATTTTAGTGAATAACAATTAGAATGCAGCTTGTTATTTTGTAACAAGCATGAATATCATCATTAGTGTATGGGTTTTGTTTACATGATCCTTTTCTGGGTAACAGTATAGTGAATTTATATTTTTTTAAAAGAAATATCCCTATGTGGATTTCACGAATTATTGTCAATTCTTTTTGCTTTTTGGTATTCAGGTTCTCCTTTTTGACCCATTATATTCTTGGTCTTTATCACCAGCTCAACTATATGCGCTTGAAGCTAAACGAGCTGAAATTAATACAACATTAGACAAGTCTAAATCATCAAGTTACTTTTTTAATGATCAATATAAGAATAATAAATCTATGAATAAAGAAAATTTCAAAGTGAATACATTACAACCAAATGAAAATAGTCTCATCTTTCCTAGTAATCAACAGTTATGTAATACTAATATGATTGGTGAAAAAGGTAATTCTATACACAGCATAACATTGAATATTGCTTTGTCTCCATTTCTTATGTTTTATTCATTTTCTCTTTGTGATTGTGTTTTGAAATTCTGTATCTTTTTGGATTATATTCAGATCAATATTGTTCAAAATATCGGTATCAATATTCAATTATTATTTTAGTTGTCAATTCACTTCACTCATTTTTATTTATTCTTTTTAATCATATAAACATTAATACAGGGAGGCACCAAATAGATATGCGCCATGTAAATTATTCGACCACTGTGAGGGCTGTAATACTGCCCGGATGCCCAAACCGAAACAGGTGGTTTTCTTAAGGGGCCACACCCAGAGCCTTTGACCCAAAGGTCTAACCCACAAGGCAGTGGAGCGACGTCAGGAGATACAGTCCCATGATAACCGATGACCAACAATTGGCTCACACGCTATTTGTTGCTTCAGGATACTGGAGCCTATGTACACCATTGGTTTGGAATCAGGGTTTCTCAACTGCTCCGTGTCCATCAATCCGTTTCAAGCACTGGACATTCGCTTTTTGTGTTGTCCCTTTCGTAAAGAGCACCGGCGCGACGTGAAGGTAGTGAGTAGGACTTCCGTGACAGTGGCTGTATACATGTGTCCATGTGAGAACATTCTGAGAGGGATAGCTGACTCTCCCCATTCTCGACCGTACCAGGGCATTTGGGGGCAACCTGCTTCGGTCTGGGCATCCGGGCAGTATCACAGCCCTCACACATATTGAATGAGATTTGTGTGGCGCATATGTATTTGGTGCCTCCTTGTACCAATATCTATGTGTTAAAATAATAATTTGGGGGCAATGTAATCAGTAATGATGAATATTTAAAATTTGTGTTAACTAAACTTAATAGTCATGTAATATTAAATTGATTCGTGTATTAGTGTTGTTGTATAACAATAATGTTTACTTAATAATAAGAGAAACTAATCATCTATAATCTTCGTCATGGTTATGTTTAACCCAGTATTTATTTGATTTGTAATGAAAATTCAATCTTGCATTCAATTTACTCTTTTCTGTTTTTGGTGCGGTTTTTGTTTTCTAAATTGGATGGTTTGTGTCGTGGAGCTTTCATCCAGCTCAGAGAACAAGAGTCCATCAAAATCATCCACCTGAGCTACAAATCTTCATCAAATCTTTTCTGTATTCGAGAATTAACATAATTTAAATTTTAAAAAACATCGGACTTAGATCTAGTGTAGACAAATTAAATTTCAACGTAATGTATTATGTGAAAAACTGTAATAATCACTTTTATAGAAATAATTCAGTTTACTAATCCTGGTAATACTTTAATTTGTCTAATAAGAATTATATATTTATAATCTACAAATTGTTTCTACTTATCTTAGTGTTCCTTGGTTATCTAACCTTTATTAACATATTTACACTTTTAATCTTTCAAAACTAATTAATTGAACTTCATATTAAATTTCCTTTCATCATACTTGATTTTTGAAAGGTATTAAAGTAAATATAAACAGATACATCTCTTATAAATTATCATATGAATTACATTATTTAGTCACTTGAGGTATGATTAGAGATTTTCTCTTGGTGGTAGTCAGTATAAACTTCATAATTTTTTTTAAATCTGATTCATCCACATCATCATTAACCTATAGAAAATGACAAACAATTTGAAAAAAACCTATAAAGTGTACTGTTCATTATAAGAGTATAGTGATTAAAGCATTCGACATTTAACCGATAAGTGCATAATCTGCTCCATTCCAGTTTGGTCAACTATAGATGTCATCAAGAACTTTTCACACAGTGTGACTAAAAGCTCAACATACGAATTAGTATTTAGTAAATGAGTTAACTTCATATAATAATCGAAATTGTAAAGTGCTATAAACTTATCCAATAGTTTGCTTGTTACGTTTCAATTTGTTATCGTTTTTTTTAGAACCAGTCAATCAACTTGCTGAACGTGTCCTACTTGGTGTAAAAGGCAAACTTCAAGGTCTTGTCAGTGGGAATTTAGTTGTTAATTCAAATGAAACTTCCAGCAACTGTAGTGGTGGTCTTGATCAACTCGATGTTGCTGGACATATTGGTTTGCTTGTTCGCGCAGCTACAGATTATTCAAATTTATCACGAATGTACTTTGGTTGGCAAGCTTACTTATAATGACTTTGTAAACTCTTAGTTCATTTTTATGATCGTTTAATGACTGTTTCTTTAATGTATATTGTATTATTATGTTGTCATATATGTTACTACTCGAATCATGTTTTACATATTATTATCCCAATCATGGCATTTTGTGTCCAGAATTTTTACTTTCCATTGCTTAAAATTGAAAAGTTTAAGCAGTAGATATAAATTATACGTGAAATTCTTATTACATTTACCTTTATCCTTAGAAAGACCAGGGTGCATGTCGTCAATATCTTTGTATGTCATTAATTGACGTTCCATCAACATCAGAAATTATTTGATTGACACCAGACTCGGATAAATTTCGAGAACTCCTAGCAGTCATCAGATGCGGTTGCTGCTTGAAACTTGTTCGAAAACTCTGACTACAAAGCTCCTCAGTTCTTACCCAAACTTTGTGAAGTTTCCTGATGTAAGGATGTATGTGTAATATCAAACTCGCTTTTCTCTGGAGTTTTAAGGAATTTGCCTAAACTCAATAGTTATAAGTGAGATCGCTCATGAAAAAGTATGCTATGTGACCCGCCATTTTCACGCCGTCATGCACTTTTGGTTAGCTTCAGACCTAGCTCAGTTTGATAGTTGGTTGTAGTAAAGGGTGGAACCAATTCGCTTATATCAGTCTGTTTAGGACGAGACATTTTATGAACACAGAAATTCTAAGATAAACTTGGGGTAGGCCATAATTTGGTTAGAAAACAGGTAGGTGCTCATAAAGGAGCGATAGATCACACCATCGATAGGTGATTACAATTTGGACTATTTAACTTCAGGTTCGAGTTGGAAAGCGAGAACAGTAGAATAGCATATCGAAAATGGCTGTAGCGGAAGTTGGTAATGTTCATAAACAGGTTGTGGTCTACGCAAAGATACAGAAAACTCACTGTCTTCTCGTCCGCAATCATCGTATTCCTCTTAATCATCTAGGTGACTTTCCTCTATGCCTAGACCCCTGACCTGTGCACTGACATCAACTAACTCTACAATACCTGTTAAATGCTCTTTCTTGAGAAAATTGGTTGGTCCGTGTTGGAACTCGTCCTTCATTTCTCCCGGACTTCAACCCGTCGGGGCGTAGGCCGAGACTATGAGAAGGAATTGTTTCCCACGCCAATTTCTTCTCACTTTGATAGAGCCCTTTAATTTAATGGTACATAGTTGGTTGTTAGTGGTGATCCAAGCGATTAGTTCAGTCTCCGTTTTGGCATCCACTGTGACAACAGGCGAACCAGACACCAATGTCACTGGTTCCCTGGATAAACACACATGAAACAAACTTTTGAGTCGTTGGCTGAAGAACGTGTTTGCCGTAATTTACAAGTCTTGAATTCAAGTTTCAGAAATGCAGCAGATATTGACATTAGGAATTTCCATAGATATAACTGAATTTATCTGCTGCCCAATCTGCATTAGTGTACGAACGTTAAAAGAGCCCGATTTAACTAGCACACTTGATTTCCGGGAAGTTGTATTTGGTTTTGTATTCGATAACACTATTCACAAAATCGACATCAGAGACTTAAGGTCATTTAGGCAGAACAAAACTTCGGCCATAGATGTTTAATAAAAGTAAACAGAGTGCAAACAAAACTGAATAGAAAGGTGAAATAAATGCATTTAAGTTAAAGAGACTGTCAACGTTGTCTGAGTTGTTAAAAGATCTAACCAGGTTTATCATTTTGTTCGTAATTATCAGTTGTCATGTTTGTGAGTAGGCTGGAATGTCATGGAAACCCAGAGCTATGTAGGTGATTTTCTTGGGGAACCACGCACTTAGCTTTTGACTTAAAGGTCTAATCCATAAGACAATGAAGCAACCTCAAAAGAGATATGTCCACGGTAGCCTCTGACAAAGAGAGGTTTGTACGTTATTTGTCGCACCATAGTCCTTCAGCCCGTATGGATCATTGGCTTTCCAACTTCCCTATATAGACCTTCCTTGTTCCTCAAATCCGTTTTCTATTCAACCTCTGACGCTGCGTGAAGGCAGTAAGTAGGACTTCTCTACATGAGGCTGTAAACATGTGACCGCGTAACAGCATTTAAAGAGTGATAGTGAATTTTCCAAAACCTCGGTCATACCAGCGTATACTTTTATAAAGTATGTAAGTCAAAAGCACATACGTTCCCTCAGTTTACCGTCATTTGATTAACTTAATTAACCATGAACTATGAGATACTTGGACGTTATATATTAACCGACATTTTATCATGGCAAAATTACTTTTAGGATTCTCAGAAATCAAACTTTGTATTTAGCATTAGCTTAATCTCAACATCAACGTTCGGGAATTCGGCACTCTGTTCTCAATCAACTTGCAAAAACGGAAACACTCGTCTGAAATATTTCCTTGTATACTTTGGTTACTCATAAGTAGTAAAAAATAGAACACATTTTTTCTTCGAAGTTAGCGTTTTCATTTTTCTGTATTAATATCAAATTCCAGTTAGTAGTAGTAACTTTTCTTAATGGTAAATGAGGCAGTTGTTACAGCCAATTAAGAAAACAAAATTTGATTCCATAAAAATTGTTTCTTATCCATGACATTTAATCTCAAAATATTATTCAAATAGTTTCATTGATTTGTCAGATGTCATTCCTACTTAGTTAATGTATACTAAAAATCTCAATAGCAATCAATGTAAGACAAGTATATGAAGATCAGTGTAGTAGAACGTATTTGTTTGATCTATTTTTTGTATTGTTCCTATGTCTCCTTGTCATTCTTCTTACTTCCGTCGAGGTATACATGTTCATATATAGTTTCCGAACAGTAAATTGCACTGTGGCTAAAACAAAAAAAATTCACTTACGCGATTAGTTTCTATTTACTGCCTCTAATCAGCTAAAGATTATCAGTCTACAAACAAAATCGCGTATTTTTTATTAAACACTATGGGTGGTGATGTTATAACTCATTACTTTTTATTTAATCTCATAGGTAAATTGAATTTCTTGCGAAGAAAAGTCCTCAAACTTAATCAATCAAATGTATTCAGATGTAAAATGAGCGAGGTATCCTTAAGCATTTTATAAACTTATTTATAATCTGATATTATGTGATCTGAGTATCATCAGCAGAAATCCCTTGACCTACTTCTTATGCTGACACTGTCTGTAACGGTATGTCTATGATCTCTTTCAAGTCGCTCAGTTTTAGGAGAATTGATTGAATTAGAAAATGCAAAACAAAGAATTATGGTTTCATAATGATAAATGGTGAAAGATCATGTATGACAGATCACGTTCCTAAATATTCAACAATATAAGAACCTTTTACACACGAATATGTACATACATATATACATTGTATACGTGCATGTACACTAAGTAGAAAAGGATAGAAAAGCAAATATATCGAGAGAGAAAGAAAACCATTATCCTTACGTGATCACTCTCATGTGTATATAAATAAGGAAGTTAAAAATCATGCTACCTTAAGATTATTGGATTAAGAAATAAAGATAGAAACTATAGAAAAATCCCTATTCACTTTTCAATTCAGAGTTGGAAAATATTAAGATCATGTGATTCGAAATTAGAAAGTACATTTTCCCCTCGTTCTCCTATCACCAATATCAACTAATGCTAAATTTTCTTTTTTTTATCAGAAATGATTGTTTTTCATCCTCTATTTTATACATTAGAAACAAATAAATAAATAGTTCATTAAAAATTATTATGATTATCATCATTGTGTCTTATGATAGACTTGTAGAATAACAAACTATTTAAATAACAATATTATGACTGTAATAGAGGTATTTTTTGTCTCTTGATATTGTTCTGTCGACTTGTATATTAACCAATTACACTAATCTTGTTGTAAACCAAAGTTGTAAGTAACTAATATACATTCATTATTACTTATTCAAACATGAGATATAGATAGTTCATAAAACCTGATTCGTCTATCATTATCAAAGATATAGAGACTGATAAAATATTAAGAATCCCTTAGAAAACAAACCTAAATTTTAATTATGATTTTATGCATACATTACAAAAATACAAAGTGATTTATATTAATACCAATGGTTGATATTGAGTTTTTCTAAGAACAATGTGTGAAAACTTTGTATGGCAAGAAAGTTACCCTGATATCAGCTGGTTTTCACTCATTAAACTAAAATTTCAGTAAGCTACTAAAAATCTATTGGGTTCGACAATGCCTGATTAATTTTAGCAGAAACTTACATGCTTATTACCGGATTATTTTTTAAAGAGAAGGCTAGTTATTAGTACACAGAAAATTTACTCTACACTTCATTCATATAGTACTTTGAAAATTGTAACTATTACACTTGTAAGCTCCAAAATCCAAATTAGAAAATTTAGAGTTTGATTAGATTGAAATCAAATCTAAAACTTAGATCTAGCCTATTATGATGAAGTAGATAAACACAGATAATATATGTGCATGATGATAAAATACTACAAAATTTGTTAACTAAAATCCTAACATCAGCATGTACGAGTTGAATAGTTTGATCAATGGATATCTCAACTTAGATGAGCCTATGACGAATACAACTTATAAACTAAAACTAACTTCCACTAAATCTCCCTGAATAAAATGTAATAGTTCACTAGTGACTGACTTCAAAATGTTCCTGGATTTCCAAAGAGACTTGTGGAGTTCAGACATATTGGGAGTGAAATATGTCACCAATGCCGCTGGGTAATATTGCAAATTAGTTGAAGTTGGAATTATACAGTTAGATGTCAACATAGTAGTTTCATAAGTTAAGCGTTTGGGACGATACTTGAATGTCCTGTGATCGGTCTCTAGTGGGATGGTGAGTGCACATTGGTGAGGAGTTCCAAACTCGGATGAAATAGCTCTTTGGTTTTTATTGGTATCCAATCTGTAATCAAGCTGTTACAAGCAAAACTTAGGGACTGTGAGATTTACTGCATATGTCAAGTTCAGTAATTTGTCAAAGTTTCTGCATAAATTAAAGGTAAT